GTGCCAAATTACACTCGATCAATATCAATAATGAAACTCGTTCACAAACTCAGCAACCAAAGCTGGAAAATGCAAATAATCCACCTCCTTTGGGTGCTTTATGTCAAGTTGGCAGTCAGTGAAAGGAAACGATAACACCTTTTTGTTTCGTTGCTCATGTTCCGTGACCAACAACAATAATAAATGAATGACACAGGGCTTATTACACCTCTGGAAATGTATTTAAAGCAGATAGTGGTAAAATGTTCCTTACTAGATTTTATCTAGGCCTCTTTTTTTTCCTCTTTTTTTTTCAGATCTATCATCTTTGAGCAGAAAGGCCCAGCAGATCCACCCTCTGGAGTGTTGTGTAAAGTTTTAATACTTTAATAAAGAAGAGTGTATCTTCACAAACAAAGAGAGAGAGAGAGAGAGAGAGAAAAAGCTAAACATCACATTTTCCACTCCCCTGAGAGTGTGGGTCTGTTTCTGCTTCTTCCAGCAATAAATCAAAACCTGTCCCAGGTCCAGCGTCAGGTGATGCAGCCTCGCCGAGCCAAACAGCCGATCCTGCATTTACTGCAAAAGCCTTTTCAGATAAACACGAGGAGGGCTGAGATGGAAAGGTTATTCTTCTTCAGTTGGAAGTGTCTCCTCAGAGTGACAGACACCACCTCATTTTTCATGCCACGAGGAGTGATAAACAGCAATAAAGTACTTCTGCTCACAACGGCATGCCGTTGCTATAGTCACAGCCTCCCAAACACAATCCAGAGACCCTTTCACCTCTTACTGAATTCATTAACATAAGCGTATGCAAAAGAGCGTGAAGAAGAAGGTGGTATCTGAGCACATTCTGGTTAAGTGCATCGTAATTGCTCGGGTTATTTTCGCACCAGTTACTGAAACAAGTAGTTTGCTGGGATGAAAAAAAAAAATACAGGTAGGATTTTCTTTGTGGTTCGCTCCAATGATCCTCTGATTAAAGGAAGTACTTCCAGAAAACAACAACAACAAAAAAAAAAGCACTCTCAACAAGCCACTTGGTAATAGATTTATTATACATGAATTAGCCCGAGGCTGGCCAGCTTAACAGCCCTCTCAGGCCTGTTTGAATTGTAAAACACACTGCCTGTCACGCTTTGTTTCCCTTTTTACTTTTCTTCCATGACAATGTACAAATAATGTTTTCCCCCCAAACAGTGTAGTCTGCAGGCTTAAGCTCAGGAAAACGGCACCGGCGCTGTGTGCGGAGAAACATTAATGGAGCAGAATAAAACGCACTTGCTACAGTTGAAACGCCCGTGAAAACGACACGTCAGACAGCCTGCTGTGTGTTCACGGGCACAAACAATAGATGCAACCGGGCATAAACATTTCCCATGCAAACATAAGCACTTTCACCACACTGGCTGCAGCTTCTTCGTTGTGTGAAACTTAAAGCTTGTACAGTGACGCCACTATCTGGTTATGCAGTGCATTACATCAATCGGGGGCCGACTGTGGAATTTCACCACTAGGTTAAGTGCGATTAAGCACACAAACTGCACTATGAAATGAACGTAGCTTAAATAGTTTTGGCATTAGTTTATTGTTAGGTAGTTCAGCTTTTTAATTTTTTTGTGTAGTCAGCTACTGAAATTTTTCTGTTTTACCTTTCCTTGTTTACTACTTCTTTACTACGACTATTAGGGTAACACCATATATATATATATGTTGTTGTTCATTTTCAGAATAAAGTCGAAATGTGGAGAATAAAGTTGTCGTTTAAATTCAAACAACTGCTACAGCTGCCTTGTGCAGGTGAATTAGTAAAGGAACGTGATCAGCGATCTTATTGTGTCTCGCGATACATCATACTTTTAGTGCACGAGGGTCTAACCATCGGTATCCTTGCATGTGCCATTTCAGTTATCACAAATGTGGTGTTTTCTTTTTAACCAAATGAGGCTTTCTGTCAACACATTCTGCCCCATCTCTGCAGCGTTCTTAGTCTTATCACAACACTGTTTATGTGCTAAATAAAAGGTAAACTTTAAAAAAAAAAGTTTAGCGCTCACAAAACTATATTTACGTAAAGCTGCAGAGAAAAAAAAGAGAGTTTTAGTCTTAGTCAGTGAGGTCAAATGTGTCATCACAACCAGTATCAGGTGGTTCTGGTGCGTGCATATTATGAGACTGGGATGACTACGTGACTGACTGTGAGTCAGTTTTTGATATGACTTGCAATAATGGACTTTTCAAATCTTGCTCAGCACAAATAGGAATCTTATTAGGCTATAATAATAGTAGTAGTAATAATAATAATAATAATCATAAAAAGACACGAACCGAAAACTGAAGAGTGAAAAATAAGTCAATGGACCACGTTTAAACAATGAACAACAAAAGTTAATAAACATATATATATATATATATATATATATATATATATATATGTACACACACACACACATATACTGTATATATACAAACTAACTCACAGCAACCGTTTCTTGGGGGCTCACACATTAGCAGCTGTAGTAATGATGACATCATCAACAAATGTCAAACAGGATTATTTCCTGCTTGTTGCAACACTTAGGCCATCTGGGCTTTCTGATATTGCAAATGTAAAATCATAGCAATTTATCATATGAGTGCTGTAAAGCTATTTTAGTTTTTAAGACCGTTAAACAAGGACCAGTCAGGTAAACTGAGTCAGATATCAACTTTTTTTGTGTTGCATTGTTAGAATTTCCTGAAATGTTCATTCATATAGTCAATTTGAGTGTATATTTTACATCTGATATACTTTTGGTTTTACATAGTTTTAATCAACTAAGCTTCAACTTCAGTGTAAAGCAAGTGGTAGTTTTCAAAATTATACTAGTACTTTTCTGTGTTTCTTTGGGTTTTTATTCCAACAAACCTAGTCAAAGAGAAGGTCAGTCCCCAGAATGGGATGTAAGTAACCTACAATCCCCATAAAAATAAGAGGCATGAATGGACACAGAGGCTTAAGACTTTAAGTTGGAGAGCAATTACCTGCTATTGTAAACAGGTCTGGAGGCATTTGCAGCAGTGGGGGATGGTAAAGCCTCCCTGTTAGAAATCATGAGCCAGAATTGTGCAAGATTTTTCTTAAACTTTGGGTCTCTGAGAATAGCACACTTTCTAGTCATTTATTAAAGCATTTAAGTGAACAACATGGTCATAAAGTTGTGACACCAATCTGTCACTAAAGCTTATTGACTGACTGAAAAAAAATTAACATTTAAAAAGGAAAAACTAGCATGTGTAAGCTGTGTAAAATGTAGATAAAAACAGAATGATTTTCAGATCTCATACACCCATATTTTATTCACAGAAGAGCACAGGGACATATCAGCTGCTTAAACTGAGAAAATGGCAGCAACAAATGTGAAAACAGGTGGGACAGGGCCATGTTTTAGGCTGTGTATCACCCCCTCCCCTTTTAACAGCACTCCATAAATGTCTAGGAACTGGGGAGAGAAACTTCTGGGAAAGGACTGTTCTTCCAATCTTGCCTGATATAAATTCCATGTGCTCAACAGTCCTGGATCTTCTTGTATTTTTGTTGTATTGAACTGAAGGCAGTTCAGCACCCGGACTCTTCTACTTCAAAGCCATGCTGTTGTAATAGATCTAGGATGTGTGGGTCCTGGAAAGGACATCAGCTGGATGGAGCAAATGTTGCTAAAACCTGATTTCTGGAAGTGTCTCTGAGCTGATGCAATGACTTCCATGACAGAATCATGTCTGTTTTGAATGCAATACTGCCCGAGTGCCCAAAGACTATATAGCATCCAATACTGATTGCACACAGAGATTCCTCCAGATTTTAAAAATCTTTTGATGATAATGTTTTTTTTATTTAGATGATTTTTAAAATCTTTACAATTTTACCTTCGGGAATATTGTTCTGAAATTGTTCCACAATTTGTAAATGCAGATGTTTTATTTACAGATTAGTGAACCTCTGCCCATCTTTACTTCAGACAAACTCTTTTAAATATCCAATCTATTGTTGACTTTTTGCCAATTAACTTAATTAGTTAAAAATATTTCACCACCTGTTTCTTTCACAACTTTTTTAAACAATTGTTGCTGCCATCAAATTCAGAATGAGATAACATTTTAATAAAATAGTAAATTATTAAAAGATTTCTATGTTTTATTGTGAATAATATATGGTTTTAAGAGTTTTGACTTTGATTGCATTCTGTTTTACACAGTGGTTTTTTGGTAATGGTAAGACTTTAAACCAACTTTAACTTTAAAACAAAATTATCATAAAAGAAAAAGAAGAATGAAACTATGAGGATGTGCAGAGGGGAAAATAAAACTCATTAAAATAATAAGATAGGCTATGATCACTACAACGCCCCCTTTAAAAAAATCTGTTTTTTGTGCCAGCAATGTCGACTGGGCTTACTTCATGCCTGAGAAACTGCCTGTTGAAGTTTAGTTTGAGTTGGCAGTTTGAGTTTAGGTTTGGCCCCTGCTGAAGAGACTTTTAGACGTTTATAAATTATTCCCAGGGGCGCTGTTTAAAACAAAAGCTGTAAAGTTAATGGTCAGCACTCTTTCTGACCATTTGACGGAAACGACAAACGAGGTCTACGTGCGAGACGTGTCCCCCATGTCATTCACAGGAATCGATCTTTCAACAGCTGTACAGTCATCGTCTTTTCCTCTGGGCTTTCGTCTGAAATTTCTGTTGGGCGGATCTTTCTTTATCGTTTAGTGGGATTTGTGTGGCAATCTTTACTTTACCTTTAAAATGACTAACAAATAGATGAGTAAAAAAATAAAGAGTAGATCAGGAACTTCTGCGCGTATGCAGGATGGGGGTCGGGCTGTTGCTGCAATACACCGGCAGAGGGGCTTTGCCTAATCATCAAAGGGATCAGCAGTGTTACCAGGCAAGGCAGAATGCTGAGGACGTGAGCTGAATCGTCATTGGTGGAAAAATACGATGGGCGGGGTGTTCTTTTCGTGGGTATTTAAGGCTTTGTTCCATTGTTGCAGAGGTCTTCCAGCTGGTCTGGTTCAAGGGACGGGGCCACCATCCGAGGATACAATAGCACTTTAATTTTTTTGTTTTTAAGGATGTCTTGCAATCAGTCTCTGTACGGTAGTTTTCCTCCATCTCCATCGGAGGACAGGGGCTCACAGCGGCTGTCCTGGAGCAGTTTGCTTCACAAGCTGACAGAGCTGAAGGGACACAATCAGAGGGTGACAGAAGATCAGTACTGCAGCAGTGAATCTGGTGAGTGTCATTTGATCGAACTAACACTGTTCAAGAATATATATGTATAATTTCTGTTTAAATGCATTTTGGAAAGAGAAACAGAGAACAAGAGAGAATGAAGTCTTAAAGTACCAAGAAAATATGCTTGTCAGTCTTTCTTCCACTTTGTTTAATGATTAGAAAACTTTAAAAAAAAGAAAGGTGAATCCCACACTGCTATATATTCCTTACTAACTTGTAGCTACTCCTTTGTTTCAGGATCTATGACAGATCTGTCAGAGTTAGACATCAGCTCCTTCTTCTATCCTCTGGAGGAGACCTTGGCTGCAGACGTTGTGACTGCCATTGCACATAGTCTCAGTGATGCATCGCACACCAGCTTGGATTGCTCCAAACTCATCCTCCCTGACTGCCTGCTACACAATATCAGCCAAGAGCTGCTCCACTTGGCCGCGATAGAGCCTTGTGGTCTCAGGGGAGCGCTCATCGACCTGTGCGTTGACATGGGGAAACAGGACTCCCCATGTACTGTGGATCAAATAGCAGTAGATCCATCCCTTGTCCCAACTTTCCATGTGACACTGGTGCTGAGGGTGGAGTCCAGTGGACTGTGGCCAAAAGTTCAGAAGCTCTTCAAAAGTAGCAAACCAGCACAGACATCCTCATCGTCTCCGAAGTACCACGACACCCTAAAGCTGAGCACGAGTTTCAGGGCTATCAAGAGGAAACTGTACAGTTCAGCCGCACTGCTGGTTGAGGAGTGCTGATCGCTGAGCACTCTTGTCTCTGATAAGCTGAACTCTAAAGAAACTGTAAAGAAGCTGCTAATTAATGCAAAATCTTAACAAAAGCACTCTCGAGACATAACAATGATGACCTGTCTGTGATGATGTATGACGGGGTTAATACTGAACTACCTTTGTCTCATAGCAGCTACTCATGTGGGTGCAGTGAAGATTAGTGTTTGCACATGGGTCAGTTTCATTCCTGTGAATGTGAAGCCACACCTATAAGGGAATGCCTTATGTATGTGACATTTAAATATACCAACGGACACTCGTTTTGTATTTTTTTTTTTAACATGAGAGAATAAATTATTTTTTTATTAACTTTTTGTGTGAGTTTTATCTGTCTGCGTCCCATATCCACACAAATTCATACATGCTATGTACTGCAGTGCTGAGACAAAACAGTAAAGCAGCAGTATGTTGTATTTTATTTCTCTTGCACCAACCATTCAGTTATGTTACTGCTGTAAACAGATACTTCCAGCAGTTTTCTTAGAGTAGTCAGTACTTAATGACTTGACATCAGGGGTGTTAAACATGAGGCCCGGAGTCCAGAACTGCCCACCAAAGACTCTACTCTGCCCTTTGGATGGCATGGGAAATGTGAAGGAAGATATCAATTTTAGACTCTACCTCCCCCTTGGCCATTATACACCAAAATAATTAAGTACATAAATCACAGAAAGTGGGTTTAGTTTTTTTAAAAAAAAGACAAAAAAAGGAGAAGTATTCTGTCAGTTTTTTAATTTGTAGTCACAGGACAGTCTGCACAATGAGCTAACAGAACTTTTTCTATAATTTTACACATTTATTTCTTGCAATTGAATTTTTTTTTATCATGTAGTAAAACTGAGCTATAATGTTGAAACGTCACTTGTTTCCTTATATTAAAATATCTTATGGCTTACATGTGTAGTTAAACTTTACACCGACAGAAAGAGGTGTTTCACTGGTTCGGCCCACTTAAGATCAAAGTGGGCTGTACGTGGCCCATAATGTAAAATTTGTTTGACATCCCTGCTCTATATGGAGTGGAGTAGTCAACAGGTGTAGTTAATGAAGTTAACCAACTTATCTTGAAGAAGAAACCTTAAAGATAACAGGGGAAACTGGCAGACACCAGTAAAAGTGAGATAGTACTGTCTGATAACGGTTATCATAGGAAAAGTGTGAATGTTCAACAGTAATATTCAAAAGTCTTGAGGAACGCATCGGTTTTAAAAATGTTGTTTCCAACAACTTTATACATTTTAAAAAGGTTTTAAGCATTAGTTCGCCAGGTTTACTAAAAATCTTTGACATCGTTCAAGCATAAGAAAGGCACTTAACAGAATGACAAACCTTTAGTTGAACCTACAAAAAAAAAAGTTACCATAGTTCGAAGGGCATAAAACTGTATTTTTGCAACAACAAGATGATTCCCAAAGAGCTATTAGCCAAATTCCTGGCGTAGCACAGCGTGGTGTGAAGTGTGGCCTTAAAAAAATTAAAAATCTGGAAAAGTAACAGGCCTGAAAAAGCTGCAGCAGATGAACAGCATCTGAAAGACCTGAGAGACCTTCAATTAGTTATTAATCAGTCAGCGACTTCATTTTTCAGCATGAAAATGATCCCAAACACATCGCCAATACAGAAAAAGCATACTATTCCACACAATGGAGCACTCCCATCAATCATTCATGGATTGGCCTCCCCAGATACTGGACTTCAACTTTGCTGAAGCAGTTTGGGATCATTTTGACAGAGAACATAATAAAAAAAGCAGTCAACAAACTGTGGAATACGCCAGGCACAAACACACGCACACACAGGTATGTACTGCCAACTTCCACATTTATTCAGTATTTGCGTTATGACAGCTGACTCAGTCTCACAGTCTGACAGCTCACGAGCCCAGCTGATCTCTCCCTGGCCGCTCCTCCTCGTCTCACTATAAACACAGCGGAGGGAGACCATCATCAGTCCATAAACAACATCAGCTGTTCTTACCGGCCTCGCAGCGCCGCCCTGTTGAGCCTTCCGCTCCACTCCTCCCCTGCAGCTGCGCCCGGGGCCACGCCTCCGCCACACAACAAAGAGCTTTGAACTACTTAAAGAAATGACAAGAAAGTTTGGTAAGAGCTCAGGCTGTGTTTAAGTTTAAAAGTGGCCACACCAAAAATTGACTTTGAAGCTTGTTAGAAATGTACAAACTGTTTTTGCTTATATATATATATATATATATAAATATATATAATATATATAAATCATGATTTCCATGTGTGTTTGCATCAGTTTCCCTGGAAAAATATGAAGAAATGAGAGGCTCATTACTTTTACGCAGCACTGTACATCATAATAAAACTCTCATTGGAACCAACTTATCTTGTGTGTGTCTGAACCTAAAGCCAACATTAGACAAGGTGTAAACCGGCGGTTCAAAGAGTGATGATTCACATGAAGTGAATGCGTCACGAAGCAGATGTGTCACCTTTTCCTACACATGTGAGAAGTTTGCTTTCAGGCCATCCAACTCCCAAAAAAGCTTTCCTAGGAATAGCAAACATGGAAAAAAAACAAAACCCACAGTTGTTTCCAAATGCTAGCCGAAGTGCAACTGAAACCTTAAAGTATAGTGAAGCAAGATGTCTAAAATAAAATTTAACACTGATTTTTTTTCCTTTTTTTTTTTTTAAAAAACAAAAACAAAACCACAAAACACAGAGGACACAAATCTCTACTTTCCCAGAGCGAAACTCGTCTGTTCACCCACCACAACCAGCTGAAGGCCGGTTGCTGACTCCCGAAGGCCTTTTACATCCAGCTTTTAAGTGTTTCTGTGGTATTTTTTCCAGATTTCCCACCAAAGTCACAAACATATGACACAAACAGCATGACTGATCAGTTGCAGTGATGGTCCTAGAATAACATTATGCCATCAGAGAAACAGCAAATACCAAAACGGGGGATATTGTGATGCTATAGGTCATCATTCTCACCCCCATATCTACTACATACACTGCAGCACACAGTTTAAGCAGTTTACAGAAAATCCAACGAGGACGTCAAAACTGTAAACGTGGAGAAATAACTGAAAATTAAAAATGTAAAGCTTTTGAACTGCGATTCCAGTTTTCTGTGAACGCTGCATTTAGGCACACTCAGAAACCCTCTTTTATACCCTGACTTACATAGTGTAAAGTTTGAATTTGGGACACAAAAACTGACTTACTATTGAAGCACATAAGCGAGTGTGTGTACGTGTATGTATGATGTAAAACAAAAGGCGTGCACCAGTCAATCATTGGACAATTTTAATTCAAAGAAACTTTTATACAATTTTAGCATGTTAATTTAATAAATATGGTTTACTTTCATTTGTGCAACAGTTTACAGTAATTATGATCCAACAGGCTACAAGCAAATCCACTTAACAATGTAAATGACTTCAATAACCCCTGCACTGTTAAAAGTAAAATGAATATTTACATTGGTAAAACTACAAAAATTACACGCTTTCCTTGTGAGTGGCTCAGACATCTGTCTATGAGAAGGCCATCGGGTTTCTCAAAATATTTAAGAAAAAGAAAACGATTGGGACAGAGGAAGCTAATCTTAGTAGCTTTGCGTACCGACAACAATGCTCTTACTTTTCAGCACGACTACCCGGCCGCCTCTCACCACTGTAAAGATTCTAGTAAGACGATGTCAGCAGTGAACTCAAAGCTTCTCACAGTTCTACAGGAAGTCAATCTACACCGAGGCGCAGAGAGGTTCCCTGATGAGGTCTGCTGCCCACTACACGTAAGGCATTTTTTGATTCTCTTGGTTTGCTGCAGAAATGTGGTCAAATTTGAGTGGGCTCCGACCGATTTCTTCTAATTAGATTCAAGTACTGACGAACCTGAGAAAGCCAAGAGAATAAATCAGTTATACAGCCATTCATATCACAGGATAATCACTTCAATGTTATATATATTTAAGTTTCTTAAAAATATCATTCATTATCACTATTACTCAGTAACATTCACCACGAGTGGAAAGGTTAAATTATACAGATAATTTTGCATGTTTTCACCAAACCAGCTACTGTTACTTTACACCTGGTCACTCTTTTTGAATTGTAGTTCCTACTTTAAAAGGTGGAAAGTTAATTTATAGGGATGTTTCCTTAGCTCAATATGGCTAAACAATCAGTCAAAGACAGATTTCTTTCATTTACTGCAGGAGCTTTTTTTTAACCATGCAGAAAAACTGTGACACATTGTTTAAATTGCACTTGTTTTCCTTATATTAAGACATCTTAGGGAATAAAGGGGTAGTTAAACTTCTTTACACTGACAGGAAGAAGAGTGTCACTCATCCGGCCCACTTAAAATCAAAGTGGGCTGTATGTGGCCTGCGATGTAAATTGAGTTTGACATCCCTGCTCTTGAATATCTGGTATCAGTCCCTGACACAGCTCGATTATCAAGCCACGCAAAAACAAGGTGTACTGACTGATTCTTGTAAGATATTAAAAATAAATTTAAAACAGCATTCTGAGTGGCTGGAGTAATGGGGGATGTGTCAGATAAAACATGCAAAAACTCTGAATTCTTTCCAGTCCATATACGGCATCCTGTAGCACTCATACTATATGCCACAGACAGCAACGTACCCATATGTGCAGAAGTGTTTTCTAGCCATCCAATATGACTTGAATCTCAGATAGTCTGGAACAGCTGGGAGTCCCCATCCTCTGTGCTCTCTGGTACAACTCAGAATCCCCGAAGTAACGAGCACGATACAGTAAGCCTTCCTCTGAAAGTACAAGAATAGAATTTGTCAGTACAATTCACATTAACTGGTTCAAAATCAGGCAGAACTTAAGTGTTAAACATAGAATAAAATATGGATTTAGGCTCCTGGTTTGAAGTGCGAAGCCAACTCCCAACAGCCAGCAGGGGGAGCTTTCCTCCAGGTCTGGTTCTGCTCTGTCATCCCAGTAAATACTTTTCTGACGACTTGATTACCTCAATTGCTAGGCTAAAATCTAACTGAATAAACCCTGAAGTTCATTTTGTAAACTATGATCCCATTCGGAGTTAAAAAAGATAATACAGGGTCGTATAGTGTCCTTGGTTTCACACGGGACGTACTCGGTTTCCAAACACCAAGGCAGCAATAACAGCTCAACCCAAGGCTGCAAAACAGGAATCCTCCGACCTCCAGGTGACGTCATGGTGGTTACATCTATTTTTTATACTGGTGTTAAATTGCTCAGTTGGACGTTGTTTTAAAGAACTTGGGATGTTAACCAAACAAGCTCAAGCACTACAAGGTGACATAAAATATTCAATGAAGAAAAGAAAATGAAATGTAAACAATAAGAGTTAATCTTTAAAGCCAAATTTGAAGAAAAAAAGAATAATTCCACCCTAAAAATGTGAAAATATTCCAGTTTTCTTCTTGTTTCGCATCAGATCTTGAATCAAATAATTACTTCAAATATTTAAACTCCGGCAATGTAAAACTCAATAATAATCATAGCTAATGCTGTAAACTCACTCTGCTGCTTCTCCTTCCAACAGTTGTTTCTTAGATTGGAGATGTAGTCTTCTTCTACACTTCTCTCCACAGTCTTCAGCATATTTCCAGAATATTCCTCAGTGAAACGTTCTCCCACATAAAAAGGCACCTTCAGGCTTGATGTATGCCTTTTGTGGATATGTCCTGCTGACCTGGTATAGAAACATGTATAACTGAGGGTGTGACAGATGTTCAGACACTTTTGCACAACCTCATTAACCAATGCACCACTTACGGGCGGTAGCTAAGGCTGTATGGAGGCTGGGTGACCATCATCTGACTGAGAGCTGAAACAATGATGAGGATTAAGATGGGCATCAGCTGGACAAACAGAGCCAGACCTCCCTGTGAAGAGAGGAAAAAACAAAAATGGACTGATTAGTTTTTAACCACAGATCAGACACTAAATCAGGTGGTATAAATATCAAGTGTATTTAAGGTCTTACAAGGTTTAAGCTTGTACTCACATCTCTCTGTTGTTCTCGTCTTTCTTGCCTATTATGGTGTGCAAAGTGCATTCTTCCATTTCTGTAAACATGTACGTTACCTGCAAAATTTGAACACATCATGATTATGAAACTGCGCCTCTTGGATATGTAAAATTCAGTCCAAAGCATACTCAAACTTTCTGCCTAATCACTTATGGCATTCTCGTGCTCAACCACAGAGAAGGATGTTCTGTTATTTTTAACAACTGGTCCAAGGAATCATGTTATTTGGTGAAACCGGTCTGGTGTTCATGACATCATCTCTCCTAATTATACTGCAACACAACTTGAGCAACAATTACAGAGAAAGTCAGAGAAAGCATCTCTTCAGCAATCAACTACCACATAACTAAACATTACAGAGGAGCCGACCACATTTATGGAGAAGTGATGAATCAGTAGCGGTAGCTTGTTGGCAGTGTGCGGGCAGTTACGGAAGCCCGCTACCTGCAGAAAGTGTCTGTTGACAGATGAGGGCAGTGTGAAAAATATGTGGTACAACCGGTCTGGGGGCTACTCTTGCTTGTGCTCTTCTTGGTCTGTAAGCAAGCTGAAGTAATAACACACAAAGAGCTGATGTGAATCCGAGTGTCCACTGGAGCTGCTGTTTGTGCATTTCGTGCTGTGCTTTGTGGCCTTTGATGGCTTTTTTGCAATTCCCATTCCTCATGAATGCTGCCGTCTCCCCCTTCCTTGTTACAGCCCACTCAACACAGCGTCATCGACATCAAGCACAGTGCAGTTGGGATTTTGGAGAACTAAACATGAACACGTTTGTCCTGGTTTTTAAAAAAAAAACAAAAAAAAACCCTCCCAGGAGGGTCTCTGAAAGCAAAAACCTCCCCAAACTCCAAACTCTTCATATGCTAAATGATAAAGCAGCAGTGCTATAAAGATGTACCCAGGTCCGTTTGTGCCGGTGTCAGCCTGCATTTTCTTGTTGTGGAGGATGAAAATGATGCATGGTCAACAAATGCGTAGATTCACACAATAAGCTGGTTTGCAGGTTCCTCCTTCACTGCCTCCATACAGACACTTTGGTGGTAAGGACAGACAATGGTGAAGGCGAAACGATCCTCGATGATTACCAAGAGTTTTTCAAACCTTTCAACTCAACTCATTTCTAACACATGTAAGCATCTAAAACCAGCTGAATATGCTGGCTTTCAGTCTGGAGTGATTATCTTTCTGCATTTAGAAAGGTAATCTGGGAAGCTGCTTTGTAAAACCGCCAGATATGAGGGAAGATTACATATTATGGTTATGTAATAACCACTAGCTGACTCTCGTGTTGTGCAGAATTTCTAAGATCCCTTGCTTGCTTTGATAAGAGTGTATCAAAACACGCCAAACATCTTTACTGGGATGTTATTATTCCTTTGAGCTCTACTTACTTGTTGGAAAGCCTCCACCAAAGAACATGTTAAAGAGGTCCTCGGGTGAGATATCTGCTTCAAACTCATGATGGTGTCTGTGTCTGCTCGGGTGCGTTCTCTCCTCGCCATACTGGTCGTACTGCCTTCGTTTCTCAGCGTTACTCAGAACAGCATATGCATTACCAATAGCTGCAAGACACACAGAAGATCACCACCGTTATGCACTTTCTGAATCTTTGTGTCCATGTCTTTCCCGTAAATAACTTTTAATTTACCTTTAAATGCTTCTGTGGCTCCTGGTGCGTGATTTTTATCTGGGTGAAATTTCAGAGCGAGCTTTCTGTAAGCCTTTTTAAGGTCCTCCTCAGAGGCAGTCTTTTCCACTCCTAGGATTTGATAGTAATCTTTACAGCTCTTAATCCTGCAGGAAAAAAATGATACAGCAGAGATTGTTAGCAGACTACACACGATAAATAAAATAAAACACTATAAACACAATATGTAGTTAGAGCTACAAAGATGTGACTCTGAGTCTTACACTATGTGGATTTTATGATGCTTATTTTTTTAATTTCCGCAAATAATAATAAAAAATATATATATATTTACAACATTCACATCCCCAGTTTGAGCTCTCTCTCTCTTCAGATCTAACTACTTTAACTTTACATGAACCATCATTTCTACCTGCTTTGCCATCTTTAGGGACCGATATTGACACCGGTGCAACTACTGACATTGCTTATGGGTCCGATACTTTTATCACTTCTCTTATTGATTCTAGATCAATTTTCTGTAGAGGGGGGAAACAGATTTGCACATCACTTGGGTGTGTAGAAGACGTCTGTTTGACGTCACTGTTTTGCAAAAAAACATGTCAGCATTGATAAAAGGAACTAATAAGTCTGGAGCAATGTGATATAGATGGATTAGATAATGTGGTCATCACATCCCAGTAGTAATGATATCTTGTCATCCTAAACCTAAACCTGTTGACCTATTGGTCAACTATATCTGCTGGACTGAGTGATGTGTGAAATACAGTCACTGCACACTTTATGAGGGCCACCTTGCTGAATGGGATGTCTTTTTGCCTTCAGAGGTGCTTTAATTCTTTTACGGCATGGGTATTGGAAAACATTCCTCATGATTTTGTTCCATATTTACATGACAATATCAAAGTTGCTGCAGATCTGCTGGCTGTACATCCATGATGTGACTCTCCCATTTCTCCGCATCCCAAAAGTGCTCTATCGGATAGAGAGCTGGCGATCATTTGAGTACAGTGAACTCACTGTGAGACTACTTTGAGATGATGTGAGCTTTGTGGTCTGAGGTCATAAAAGCATGGGCATGGTTAGCAACAACACTCAGGCAGGGTGTGGCATTTAAAGGATGCTCAATTGGTTCGAAGGAGGCCAGAGCATCCCCCACAATGAAGAGCCTGAACTGTTGATACAAGGCAGGTTAAATCCATGCAGTTTATGCCAAATTTTGACCCTAGCATCCAAATGCTGAGATTCATCACACCAAACAGCATTTTTACCAATTTTCTTCTGGCCAATTTTGGTGAGACTGTGTGAATCTTGGCCTCAGTTTGCTGTTCTTAGCTGACAGGAGTGACACCTCAATGGTGTCGGTTCGATGCGTTCTGCCTATAGAAATGCTCTTCAGCATACCTTGATTTTAATGAGAGGTTATTTGAGTTACTGCTGGAAGAAGTCTAGCCAATCTCAATCACACTCAAGCTCAGTGGATCGGCAGTTTCTGAAATACTGAGACCAGCCTGCCTGGCACCTAAAACCACTCCACATTCAAAGTCCCTTGAACCACACGTCTTCCCTATTCTCCTGCTCAGGTTGCACTTAAAGGGGTCGTCTTGGACATGTCTACATAACTAAATGCACTAGGTTGCTGCCATGTCATTGGCTGTTGAAATCCTTGCATTTGCCAGCAAGTGTACCTAATAAACTGGTCAGGTAGCGTATATTCACTATAATCACACTGACTTTTTGATAAACGTCAAGTGATATCGACGTCAGCCAGCTCTACCAGCATTTTCACTGCAACAAAGGGAGCACATAGACGCGAACTGACTTTTTAACGGCCTCCAGCTGCTCGGCTGTGTAGGACTTTCCCGAGTCCGCCGTCGCTTGTGCGGACACTTCGGGCTCCTCTCTGCCGCCGCGGTGTCTCATAGCGGGTCCTTCTCCGTTCACATGACTGCCGTTCTCCTCCGGAGGCTTTCCATTCTGCGCTAAAGACTCCAGTAAGTCTGTGAAAAGACAGAGGAGACATTATCGACGGTTGCCACCTGAGTTCACGTTTCCTATGTCGTTAATCCTACCACGGTTAGCTACTTGTTAGCATCCCAGCTGCTACGAAGACCACTCTATAAGGGATAAAACTGCGAATACCGACTAATCGTCCACTATGTTGAAGAAACCAAACGTATTAGACAAACGCGACTCCAGGCTGAAAAACTACAAATACCAGTGTCGGCTAGCAGCTGGTGTAACGTTAATGCTAGCGTTAGCTGCTTCGGATTCACAGCGACGGCCTAGCACCCATGATTTAAAACCCCCCAATCACTTCCCAAACAGGCATTTATTCGACGTACTTTTGGCTTGCTCTGTCGGAAACAGGCGTTGTGCCTTCTCCAGGAACTTTCTGGCTTTATCCGGCTGGTTGTTACTGACTGCATTTAGGGCTATTTTAATGCACCGCTCCGCTTCGTCCTTGTTTGAGTCCATCGCGACACAGCGGAAATGTTTACTTGCCCTGGGACGCAGGGGGATGTCGACAGCAAGCTTATCTGTCCGGTAAATAAGACGTCAGAGGAGTTTCTTTGAACCTCCAGCATGTGCTTCGTGAACACCCGGTAAAGTCTTTTGCCGTGTACACCTTATATATTACAATGCGCTAATCCTCCTGCAGGACCCTCAGCCATAGTAGCAAGTTTTTCAGAAGTAGAAAATGGCCTTGGTAGCTGCACGCAGCAAGTCAGTTATATTTGTCAAACGTGACCTTTTGCGTTACTTGAGGAAAACTTATCCGCGGTTTCTAGCGAATGGCACTATTGTAACCAAACAGGGGAACCCACCATCAAAGAAGCGATGGAGGAAAGGTAAGGAGAAGAAACCACCCTCATGGACTGATGGTGTGTCGTGGGAGGAGAGGCTGGCAGATGTGGTCACCCCTCTGTGGAGGCTGAGTTATGATAAGCAGCTTGAGCTCAAGCAACAGAATCAGGAGAAGATCCTGTCCCAGCTCTCTGGGCATCTTTCTGGCGACTCACCTGTCAGGGATAAACTCAGCTTTCCTGTGCTGCCTGTTCTGCCCTCACCAGTGAGAGATGGCTACCGCAACAAGTCCACATTTTCAGTCAACAGAGGAGTGGATGGCAATCCGAAGACGGTTGGATTTTACGTGGGCACAGGCAGGAAGGGGAACATCGTCTGTGTCAGCGGAGACCACCTGCTCAACATGCCACAGAAGCACAAACTGGTGGCCAGGTGCTACCAAGACTTCATCCGCCTGTCCTCACTGGAGCCCTGCCTGCTGTTCCACACTGGGGGTCACTGGAGAGAGATCACAGTGAGGACCAATAAAGAGGGCTGCACCATGGCCATCGTGTACTTTCACCCACAGAGCCTCACCCCAGCAGAAGTGGCCGTCCATAAGGCGGAATTGGTGGATTACTTCACGCAGGGTCCTGGATCGGTCTGTCAGCTGGACTCGCTGTACTTCCAGGAGAGCAGCATGACTCGGTGCACCCATGAGCAATCTCCCTACCAGCTTCTGTATGGTCAGCCACACATATATGAGGAGGTAACCTCACAGAGATTTAATAATCCCTTGTCCAGCTGCACAGACACTGTTCAAGTGCTTGCTCTCATGAATAATTTCATGTATATTTTAATTCAGATTCACTGCCAAAATAGGAAACAAAAATAGGTAAATGTGCACATTTAAACACTTAAATTTAAATAAAGTGTTTGAAATCTGTTATTCTTTTATTCTCTTGGCTATATAATGTCTTAACACGATCCATTCCCGCACAAAAGAATCGGAGAATATTGGAAAAACATTACTGAAAGCTGATGTCAGTTGCCTCATGCAGAGCTGCACATCATTCAGTACTTGTTTGTGCATGTTTCAGTAAGTCGCTGCACATATTTTCCTAGCAAAATATGAAGAAATTAGGGTTGGCTTGAGACTTTTGCACAGTAATGTATCTAAGGACATGTAAATGAGGCATGTAAGAGCATTATTTGTAATAGCAAAGTTATCATAGCAAGGCAATAGGGAGAAGCAGAAGGGAAGAAATAATATTTTTGAGGTTAAGAATAGGCCATGTAGGAAATTCAGCTTATTTACAGCTGTGGAAGTACTGGGAAAACCCCCCACAAGATGCATCACGGAAGCAGTGGAACATGTATGACTGGACTAAAATGTAAGTCGGCCATTCCCAAAGCCAAGAGTACTGTGTCTCATTAAACACCAGAAAATCCAACGGAGCCCATCAAGCCCTGAATCTTCGCCCAAATTAAAATACAAGAGAAAGAGATGTATTTCCTTGAAAACTTTATTAAATAACATAAACAACACAGACTGTTGTCTATAAATTCCTAATGTTACGCAGTCAGACACAAGGTGTTAAGGCCAGTGTGTGACCCGACTGCTACTGGAAGACAGAAATGTCAATTCAAGAGCTGTAACTTTAGGTCAGAGTAATGACTAATATCACAACTTAACCACCTAATATTACCAGTTTTGTTTCACTTTTTATATAAATAAGTATATTTTCATACATTTGTAATGAACTTAGTATATTAAAACTGAGTTTCTGTTATTACTGTGGCCCACCTGCAGTATCTTCGTGGCCCACCAGGGGGAACTGTCTCTTTAAAAAAAGACAGGAGTCATTATTCAAACTTAGCAATGAAATATAAAACTGTGTGTTTTTGTGTGTACAGCCATTGCTCCCTTTCATTGCATCCCTTGCAGGCTTGCATTTTGGAGTCTTGTACCACTACTCTAGCCAAGCAGGTGGCAGTAATACACCTTCATGTTGGTTGTCAGTTGCCATAAAACAATAACATTAGCTTTACTTATAAAACCATCCTTATAAACATTGAATTTATGTAGGCAATAGAGAAGAGTGGGTAGCTACTGTTTAATGTGTTTTTACCTTATGATTGTTTTTTTCATTGCTCCTCTGTCATCTTGTGATTCTCAGATACTGGACTTCAAGTTCCGCATCTCGGCTGACGCCTTTTTCCAGGTGAACCAGGCAGCTGCTGAAGTCCTCTATGCCACAGTGAGAGACCTTTGTGTCCCAAACACTGAGGAGGATGGAGGGCAAACAAAAGCTGGCAGCACTCTTCTAGATGTGTGCTGTGGGACGGGTGCCATGGGAATCACTATTTCTCCCAGAGTGGACAAAATTATCGGTATAGAGCTCATAGAACAGGCAGTGGAAGACGCTAAACACAACGCAGCTCTCAATAATGTGTTAAACTGTGAGTTTATCTCTGGGAAGGCAGAAGCTGTGCTTCCTGGCCTTATATCTCAGCTGAGCTTCGCAGGCAGATGCCTTACAGTCGTGGTAAATCCTGCTCGAGCCGGCCTCCACCACAGGGTTGTCCGGGCTTTGCGAAACCAACCGGCTATCCGCAGGCTGGTCTACGTTTCTTGTAAACCAGACGGAGAAGCTATGAGGAACTTCAAGGAACTTTGCTGTGATCCTAACTCACAGAAGAAACTCACAGGAGAAGCATTTTCACCAACTCTGGCTGTGCCCGTTGACTTGTTCCCACATACTCCTCATTGTGAAGTGGTGATACTTTTCGAGAGGTAGCAAATAGTTTTTGTTCAAAGGTTGGCCTTAACCCTGAAAGCTTGTAAGTAGAGGAATAATGATGTACTGTATTTTAGATGATAAAATAAATCGTTGCGCATCCTATACTCATGTTTGACCCACGTGTTCTCAATTGTTTGCTTTCAGGACTCTGTGCTACCAGTGCAACAAGTTACTGTTTAGATTATTAATCAGCTAACGTGCCATTGTTTTGGAGTAATTATTGGTTTATAAAATATTAGAAAGATGAATATCCAACAGTCAATCCCCAGATATATTCACGTTAAATACTGAAAACTAAAAAATGGAAAAATCCTAATTTTAATGGTGATCGACATTGTTGATTTCACATTATCAGACTAAGCAGACCTAGAGTGACATAAAACACCTCTAAATACAGCGCTGGGGGGTTTATTACTCTGCTCTGACAGATTGTGCTTTACCAAAGTCCTTATAGAAGGAGGTCTTGCAGCTCTCCTGACAGGCGTCTGGGCCCTTTTATTATCACTGTTCTTATAGACAAAAGACCACCTTCTGTTGCGTGTTTCCATTTGCAGCCTAACAGCCATACTCACATCAGAAGCTGAACTTTTGCTTCAAGAAACAACCAAATATTTACTTGTTCTGTTCCTAGTTGGTGTCCAGCTCAATATAGACCAAAACACACACACATAATCTCAATTGATACTGTGCCATGTTACAAATATTGGTATCAATTGGACATCAAGTACAGAACATGCAGTGCCAGTATTGCCAATATCAGTACTGATACTTTGAAACTATAAAAGCATCAGTATCACTGATACTATTTAATGTAGGGGAGAGCAATGTGTCTTCATCATGATGAATCATCAATTTGCACATTCTTATGCATTTTAATACATATATACAGTAAATCACTATGATTTTTTTTAAACTTTCCAAAATAATTAATCAATGCAGCAAAGTACACTTTCCAGGTTTTCATGTATTTTGAAACTGTTTTTTGTAGACCTCAAATGCAAATGTCCATGTCCTTGAAGCACTTTGAATCAACTTCTGTTAACGTGTGCTACAGCCTATAAAGTAGATGTGATAATGAGCACAAAAAGGTTCAGACATTTTTCATAGTGCATGTTTGAGGTCCCCCCCCCACCCCAATTAATTAATTAATTAAATCCATTAATTAACTAATGGAAAGTAACACACAAACAGTAACACACACAAATCCATGGACTTTGGTATTTACTCAAATAAATGAAGTAATACCTTTCAATCCTTTAATTTCATGAGCAGCATCAAGACAGTTAAACATCTGGGAGACTGATCTGGTCAGATAAGTAGCAGAGGGGGTTGTTATAACAGTAGAACAGCAACAATGAGATAACCCCCAAAACAGGTATGGTTTTACAGGTGGAAATTATATGCGCTGGCATTTTTTTTTTACTAGTATTGCATTTTGACTATGATCAGTGTGGTAATATGAGGCGATACTTAGACCTTGCATTAGGGGTGAAAAGCTCCAGGCCTCAAGGGCCGGTGTCCTGCAGGTTTTAGATATCACCCTGGTTTAACACACCTGAATTAGTTCATTACCAGGCCTCTGGAGAACCTCAAAACATTTTGAGGAGGTAATTTAGCCATTTAAATCAGCTGTGTTGGATCAAGGACACATCTAAAACCTGACAACCTGACACGTTCTAAATAACTGAATGGCCATTTAAAAACATGCAATGTAATTCCACACGGGAAAAGTATTTGGCTACTGCTTTTACAGAGGTGTTCACACTTGCTGATCTGTTAATCAAGTGCTTTTTAAATTTAAAATATTTGCACTTTTTGTTTTTACTGTATATTAAATTAAATACTGTAATATAGCAAGAAAATATTGTTTTTTTTGTCATAAAACATTGATGTACCTAAATACTTAATATTATTAAGTTACAAAACATAATTGCGGATGTGATGCTTCTTTTGAACACTTGTACATAAAATAAAATGCAAAGTCTGAGATGTGATATACTTCATGCCTTCTCCCTGTCTATGTGTATGCAGAAGAACATATATGAATGGGTGAGGGACCATTGCCTCCACCACAAATATGTATGCACAGACGCAGACCCTCACAATGCCTCACAGGGATTTTTCTTCTCCCACATTGGTTGGCTCCTGGTCCAAGAACATCCTGACTGCACTGAAAAGAAACAGAAACTCAGCCTGTCTGACCTGACGACAGATAAAGTGGTTATGTTCCAGAAACGGTGAGCAAACCTTAATGCAGACACTGATTTGGATCATAAAAAAAGTACAGTTATGCAAGACTCATTCAATCAACAACAAGCCACAGAGTGCAATAATGCACCTCATACTTTATTGGTAGTCCAGTTGATTTCTTTCCAAGCTCCTTAGAGTAGCAAGACTTGGATGACTGAGAACCTACACAGACATACTTTATTACTGTTTCTGAGCTTGATTTCTGCAAAACAATGTTGAAAAGTGAGTTTGGCCTTGAATTGATTTAGTAATGTTAACTTTTTGGTCACTAGTAAACATTTACACTGTTCTGGGCAAATCCTCCTCTGCTAATGATGGTCAGTGACCTGGTCAGAGGTACTGAGGAAGTTGTTGCCCTAATAATGATGATGTTGGTGCTCTTCATGCTGTTTGATTTCTGTTCCATTTGGAGTCACTGGTAGTTCAGGAGGTAGAGCAGGTCCTATCTGCTCTAGTCTGCCTGCCTTGGAAAAGATACTAACCCAAGTATGTATGTGGATGTTACATAGAAAGCACTTGCTGAATGTGCTGAATGAATGGATGAGACATGTTGTATAAGTGCTCTGAGTCCTCCGGGAGAGTAGAAAGGCGCTATGTAAGAATTTGTCCAATTACCATTCAGAGTTTGTACGTCTTTGAAACTAGTCCAAAAAAATGTTCATTGCAAACCAAATTGTAGCCAACTAAGAATGGATGTATGAGATGCTATCTGTTGATTTATTTCAGACATTTCGTGGTGTCTATGCTGGTCCTCTGGTTCCTCTTGCCGATGCTGGTTCCCTGGTACTTCTGGGGTGAATCCTTGGTTGTGGGGTGCTTTGTCCCTGGGCTCCTCAGACATGTTGCAGTCCTAAATGCCACCTGGCTTGTAAACAGTGTTGCACACATGTGGGGCAACAGACCTTATGACAAGAACATCAACCCAAGGGAAAACAAGTTTGTTTCTTTCAGTGCCATAGGTAAGATTTTCTTTTACAACTCATTAAAGTTACTATTTGCAGTCAGGTCCTTAACTGTATGGACAGTGTCACAATTTCTTAATTTAACCTCTATATACCACAACAGCAGATTTAAAAAAAACTGAAGTGCAGACGTTCAGCTTGAATTCAATGGGTTAAACAGATTATTTTTGCATTAACTGTTTGGGAATTGCAGTCATTTTTGTCCACAGGATCCCATTTTCAGAGAATCTAAATTAATTTGAGAATTGACTGATAATGTCAGGAGAGGCCTGCTTAGGCCTGCTCTTATTTCATTAAAGGTTAAGCAGATAAAAGCTATGGAGTCTGATTCCAAGTGTTTAACTTCAGTTTAATATCTACTAGCCGAACCCTCAATTTAAGGTTCAAAGAGATATAGGCTGAAAAGCCAAAACTAAACCTGAGAGGAAAAAAAAAAATTAGGAGAGGCCAAATCAAAATCTAGCATGTTAGTAAGAACTAATATACTAACCAGCTCGGCAACAGCGACAGGCCTGAAAGACTACAGAAGAGAGAGATGATCAAAGAATGACTTTACAACATCGAAGTCAAGATCATAATGACCTAGAAGGTGCCAGACTTATTGTAATTGTAAAAGTACATATATAATGAGAAAATGTTTTCACAAGTAAGGGATTTGGAAGGATGTTAATCACAGGTGCTTAGCTTAACATACAAATGTGTGTGATTATCTTTTTATTTATTTATTTTTCAAGATTTTTAAATGGAAAAACGAGTGTACTCAGCATCAAATTATCCTTCACATGCTTCAACCAGTGTCTGTCTCCCTACTGCTTTTCTGTGATGAGTTATCATCACCAGCCCTCGTCACTGAAGTTATGGTTCTGAAGTTAAGTTCTGTTTGCTTTTCAGGAGAAGGCTTCCGTAACTACCACCATACGTTCCCCTACGACTATGCTGCAAGTGAGTTTGGCAGCAGGCTCAACCTCACCACTGCCTTTATAAACCTCATGTGCGCGTTGGGTTTGGCCAAAGACCCAAAGACGGTTTCCAAAGAAACAATCGTTGCTCGCATGCGGCGAACGGGTGACGGCAACAACGAGTCAAACAGCTGCAAGTGACACAACGTTGTATTAAGATGGTGTCATTTTACTCATCGGGTGGTCTTCTCAAGACTGATTTTTATCTAGTGTAACAGTGTATTTTTCTTCTTTCCTTTTAAAAACATAAAAAAGACTTTTAGACCCTCGAGAGCAGAGTCAGTTGGACACCATGTTTGTTGTATGGATGCACGGGATTATCAGCTTCATGATTTCTACTGCTGACATTTGACTTATTGATTTCCATCAGTCCACTGAAGATTAAAGACAACATCACCATTTGCACATAAGGATGCTACAAAAATCAAGAGACCTTCTTCTTCTTTCCTCCAGCTGCAAACAACCAAATCAGTAGTTTGTCTCTTTTTAAGAATGACTTGCTACACTGATAAAGGCACTTTGTTCTTGATTTTCAGACTTTTTTTATTGTTGTTTTTTGTATGTATGAACCTTGAGCACGCACCAAATTCTTTGCACACCAGAATGGACTTCTTGTTTTTTTTTTAAATTTTGGAGCACTGTAAAACTATTCACATTCCGAATAAAAATAAATAAATAATGTAAATTTAAAAAAATGAAATAAAAGGAAGAATCACAACCAGTGCTGTTTGTTTTTTTTATACTATCTATACTAAGAATCACTCAAAAGCAGCTAAGTATATGTTACTAATCAAAATGCTACTTTAGACAAGAAGATTATGCACTTTGACATTATTTAAAGAATAAAAAAAAATAATATGACTTGACAAAAACATGAACTGTGTGAATGAATCTAAAAACCCTCAAAAACATTAAGTATTACATTTCAGCGCCACATATTGGATTCTGTGAAAATGACCCTTATAGAAATCACTTATCTTTGCTGATAGCTGTGTGAGTTTGGATCATATCCATCTGCAGGTCACACATTTGACATGCTTTTCAGATATGGTCTGAACATTACTTGCAGCATTACGTGTCTGCTCCATTAAACTTTGACATTGTCCTTTTTTACTGTGGCAGGGTGACCAAATGCAGATAAACTTGCTGTGAGACAAAGGCAGCATTTGTGTGGGACACCTCTGAATTTAATCTAACTTACAAATAAAAATAAACTGTGCACTGCAAGTGTGGCAAGATTAGTATTCTTCTGTGCCTGGGATTAAATATTCATACACTGTCACACATTTGAACAATTATGACACATACATAAACAATGCCTCTTCACGCTATACTTTTATGCTGTGTGAAGCTAAAAATTTACTCAGTTTCCATCATGTTTACTGAAATCTGCAGTGCTAAATTTTTGGTGTTTGTTTCAGGTAAGGAATAACAAACTTCTTGTCGTAGCTCATGGTCATAGCACCCTAAGCATTCTCATCTGATCTGGGAAACTAAGCAGGATTGGGCCCGGTTAGTTGGGAGACCACATGTAAAAATGAGGAACTCTATGTTTGAGGTGGCTGTGGCTCAGGAGGGTGAGTGGCTTGTCCATCAAATGGTTGGTGATTCAATCCCTGGATACTCGAGGCTGCATGAGAAATTTTCTTTGGGAAATATACTAAACCCAGAGCTGCCCCCAATCCAGTGGGGTGTATACAAACGTTAGAAAAAATGCTTGTGTGAATGTGATTGGGTGAATATGACTTGGAGTAAAAAAAAAAAAAAAAAGGGGGGGGGGGGGCTCTTGAGTGGGCAGAGTATAGAAATGCCAAATAAGGACCAATTCATTTATAAGAAAAAAAATAAATGTAGTGTTTTTTTGGAGAAACAAAAACAAAAAAAGAAGCTAAGACAACAACGTGGTTCCTGATTTCATCTCATCTTACTTGAGTTCTTTTTAAATCTTAATCCAAAAACATCCCTCAGAAGTCCCTCACGATGACCCCCCCCCCTTCCCCCCCAAATCCCAATTTGCACACAAGAAGATCGCAAAAGTCCTGCCTCAGATAAAGGAAGGGACCTAAAGGTCAGACGAGGTTATTGGGGAATAACCCTTTATCCAGTGTCAGGAAAGGGCCGTCTGGATTAGCGATGCAAATGTCCTATTTCTGATCAGTGGCTTGGTCTTCACTCTGTCACAATCCACCTTTATGTGGCTGTTACAATATAGCAGGCAAGTAAACAAAAATGTACTCCTACTAAGATCAGTAAAATAAATAAATAGAAAATTTTAAGGGAAAACCTGCTAAACACTCAAAATAAACATCGCCGCTCCCTGCAGCACGTCATCGCACATTATTCTGAGAATGCATCTATCAAGAACCCCCCACAAACATCATTCATTTGCAGAATTTTGCTTTAACTCTCCTATAAATAAACAAATATTAATTAAAATAAATAAATAAATTTTAAAAATCAATCACTAATCGGGAGTATTTGACCCTGTATGAAACTACACACTCGCTCGGTGCTGTTAAATTTCGTTGAGTAACAGTTTCCATGACAGATACACTGATTCAATCACACCTTTGTTAAACTGAACCAAAGTTTTCTGTTGTCCCATCAAACTGACAAACGGCTATCCTCCAGCTAATCCCCGACAAATCAACTGCTTTTCGATAGCTTAAATAAACATTTTCTCTGCGCAGAAATTCAAGGGATCACTGTTACACTTTTCCTAAAGGATTAAACAGATCTGCCTTTGCTTTTAAAGGAAGGCAGGGAACCTACCGTTGCCCGGCCCTGAAGGCCCAGGGTGCCCTTTTGATCATTTCAGTCTCTCCTTGGTGCAATACTTCTGATTGGCCAAGAGAGTAAGAAGGGGGAAAATCTTTAATTAAGCAGATAATCTCTTGTTGGGACGAGAGCAGCTCCATTTCAGAGCCCCCGCCTTGAATCCTGGAAGCCCTTGTGAAGTTTCATGTGCTGGTAGCTCAGTGTCCTCTCCATCTTCACGCCGTCTGCAGCTTTGGACGAGTTGCCGTCTCTTCCCTCCCCTCACCTGTCAGGATGTTCATGCACTGGGAGGTTTTTTATTACATTTTCATTCTCCTGACTCACATGAGGTCCACCTGCTGCTGGTAAGTTGGTTTATTATGAAATATTAGCCACTTTCTTGGCTATGACGTCCGCTCCAAATAGCCTACTGAAAAGGATTAACTGAACACACGCGGGGAACTTTTATTCATTCGAAAAATAAAAGCCCAATTTATTTAATAGAATTATTCAATAAGGAACCTTTTATAAAGGGCTTATTGGGTTCGAAGGCGGTTAATAAGCACTTAGTGTTGGCTAAATATAAGCCGTTTATGAGGTCGATTTGCGGGTTGCCAGGTTTTGAAAATTCCCTGAGATTTCTTACAAACTAAAATCCATCAACCAGCGAAATTTTTTTAAGTCAATAAAATAACATTTCCACATCAGTTCCCACTTTTAAAAAATCTTTCAGTAGTGTGGTTCACTAAAGTTTGAATACCCACCGGTGTCATAGTTTAACATGTTACAAAGTGCACTAATGAGAGATGAATTAGCAGAGGAATTTGTGGAGGACACTGAGCTTCCCAGGGTGAATAAGCTGTCTCCTTTTCCAGGTCAGTGAATAATTTCTTGATGACTGGACCCAAGGTAAGCCAACTTTCTTTTGATCTTCTCTCCTCTCTGTTTTTCCACAAAAGTGAAAGACACTTCTTATGAGATCTTAACTCAAGTTTAGGGACAAATTCTGGTACCTGTCTGCGTTGAACAATGGTGCTACATCTGTGATATTCTTGGACTTTTGTGATTTTTTTTCTTTACCCCCCCATCCGTACACTTGACCTTATTCAAAGGCTCTGTGTAGCCGAGGGTTGAATGTGTTAAGAGGCAAGAGCAGGCACTGCTGTAGTGGGTGGTCATCATTAGTGATCCAGACCCCTGTGAAAGAGGTGGTACTCCATCTCCCTGAAGGCCACTTGAGACATATTAGTTATATTATCATTCACACAGTCCGAACAAGCAGCAGAGCGGCAGGCGAAACCCGCACAGACGGCGCTTTGAGACTTTACTGCAGCTGATGAGACCTCCACATGCAAACTGAGCCGCTTCATAGTGTTTTTGTCACATAACTGACAGATATATATTTAATCTGTCTGTTAAAGAGTAACCACTTTATACCAGCTTCTTCCACATTTTAAACTCCACATAGTAACTTAAATTTTGCACTGATAAGAAAGTGACATGAAAGCAGTGGATTTAACACTAACAAATGTGAAAGTTGCACATCCTTGATCCAGTCCCTCATGATCTTTTAGTCCCGTAGAGAGCAGCGACTGACTTTCCCTGTACTTGATCAAGCTCGTTCAACCATGTTTCCTAAAAATATAATATGATGCTTGTTAGGTAGGATGCATCCTGGTACTGAAATCACAGCAGATGCCATGTTGTGAAATCACACTGCTGTTGCTGTAAAATGTGCATTGTATTATAATGCAGGCATACCTGATCTACTCAAGCAGCGTGGCAGCAGGAGCTCAGAGTGGCATAGAGGAGTGCAAATACCAGTTTGCATGGGACCGCTGGAACTGCCCCGAGCGAGCTCTGCAGCTATCCACGCACAGCAGCCTGCGCAGTGGTAAGTCCTGACCCCCCCACCCCTCACAGAACAACTCAACGCCATCCCAAATATTCCCACACGCCTACGAGGCTGAGATTCCAGCTCATGGCAAACATGGCAGATTTTCAAAGATGGTTAAAAAGTGGTATGCAACTGTGTGCTTTTTTTTTTTTTTTTTTTAGTTTAGGTTTATTTCTGATGCTTGAGTTTTTTTGTCTTCTTTGTGTCTTACAAATATTTGCTTAGTCCAAAGAGTTGGGATTGTTACAGAGGCAAGTAAGACAAGAGCCAAAACAAAAAGCACTCATGTCCCACCGAATCACAGCCTCTACATACAGAGATCCACAAACACAAAGAGACAGATTTGTTAGGTAATATAAAATAAAATTAGTTTAATTTAGAGAATATTTATAATAACTGTCAGTGAGGGTTTTACTCTCCTGGCACGAAGGCGGGATTTTTTTTCAAAATAATTTTCATTAAAAAAACAACAGCAACAACACAAAATACATAAAGTTAAACTCTCTCTGTAGTTGATTTAACTTAGTGGAAGGAAGCAACTGGAGTATAATTGTGTGAATGTATTAGACAACATAGCTAACAAGTTTCTCCGATGATAACAGCAAATCGAGAGACGGCGTTTGTCCACGCCATCAGCTCAGCTGGCGTTATGTACACCCTAACCCGGAACTGCAGCCTTGGAGACTTTGATAACTGCGGCTGTGATGACAGCAGAAATGGACAACGAGGTCAGAGAGATACACGAACGCGTACATGACATGCGAAAGGACAGTTTTCGCTTCCTAAAGCGATTCCAGTAATTTCATTCTTTTTGTTTTATAGGTGGTCACGGGTGGCTCTGGGGTGGCTGCAGTGACAATGTTGGCTTTGGTGAGGCCATCTCCAAACAGTTTGTTGATGCTTTAGAGACTGGACAGGATGCACGGGCAGCCATGAATCTCCATAACAACGAGGCTGGGCGCAAGGTACAGTATGCCCTCTTAATTTACCCGATCAACTTGCAAATGAAAAACGAGCATCTTGCATGAGATGCAGTACAATCATGCAATATTACGGCTTTAATTAACCACTCATTATTTAAACTGGGTGGCATCCTGGCTTAAAATGTAAGAATCTTACACGGCCCTCCGACTGATTGCAGATTGTAAAGCACCTTTTGAATCATTTTTCCCTGCGCAGAATTACGCTGAGTGTGCCACCCAAGCATCCCTTTCACGTCGCTATAAGTGAGGTGCCACTCGTCTCCAATAATAACAGCGTGTTCGGTGTACCAGAAGGGCCTATTTACCAGTGTTGAATGCTCCTTATGACAAAACCTCAACTCAAGAATCTCAGGATCACTGGTGCACGCTTAATTAGAGATCCTGGGGAGCCAGACATTGCACGGCATTCTGTATTATTCTGCTTTTTTAAAATAAGTGTTTAGTTTTATTCTTGCAATAAGGATCCCACATTTATGTTGGTCTTTGTTTGGCCCCGAGGGAGTCTGAGGGGACCACAGGCGTGCAGCTGAAGTGGTCTTTGTTTACGGTGCCTTTGCTCCCCCCTGTTGGGCCCTGGGATCCCCATGGCACCTGGAGCATCATTGTAACAGAAAAAAATGGGGATAGAAAGAGAGAGGGAAAAAACCCTCCTTTTTCATTTATCCACTCAATGGGACTCTCCATTGGGTCGTCTCACACTAGAAAACATGTTGATAATGAACATGCTAAATAAATACTTCTATTTATTCTACGAGGAACAATGCGACCTGATGTGAAACTTTGATTCAGCCTCACTTCAACAGAAAGTTCATCCCCTCTTCACGGAAAGAAAACACCGCTTTTCAATTGACAGCTGTTTTGTGTTGGTTGAAGTCAGGAAACACAATGGATGACAAGGAACTCCGCGATGGACCTCGAAGCTATCATTTCTTCCTTTTCACCGCTTTCATGCCTTTATCTGAAAAACTTTGAGAATACAATCAGTTAATTTGACCACACGTCAATCAAGAATTTGCAGGAAATGTATGCACCAACACACAATTACGGTTTTTATGTTTTGACAGTTTTTCCACTAAACTCAGAGCAAAACACAGTTTTCTTTAATGCAGTGAACTATTCCTATTTATTTTGATAACATGAACTGTGTCTGTGTGCCCAGGCTGTGAAGGGAACCATGCAGAGGACATGCAAGTGCCATGGCGTGTCAGGAAGCTGCACAACTCAGACCTGTTGGCTGCAGCTGCCAGAGTTCAGAGAGGTGGGGAACTACTTGAAGGAGAAGTACCACAGGGCGCTGAAAGTAGACCTTCTGAGAGGAGCGGGGAACAGCGCGGCCAGCAAGGGGGCCATCGCCGAGACCTTTAGTTCCATCTCCCGTAAGGAGCTGGTCCACCTCGAGGACTCTCCTGATTACTGCCTGGAAAATCGCACTCTGGGTTTGCCTGGCACTGAGGGCCGCGAGTGCCTAAAGAAAGGCAAGAACTTGAGCAAATGGGAGAAGCGAAGCTGCAAGAGACTATGTGGGGAGTGCGGCCTGGCTGTGGAGGAGCGTAAGGCTGAGATGGTGTCGAGCTGTAATTGTAAATTTCACTGGTGCTGTGCGGTAAAGTGCGAGCAGTGCAGAAAGACAGTGACCAAGTACTTTTGTGTGAAAAAAGGAGGTCAGAGGGGAAGAAGTGAGAGCGCCGGGAGCCGCAGGAAGAACCTCAGACTGAGGAAGAAGCACTGAGGATCTTAATGATTTCTTGCAGCTCCTCGGCAGATTCTTTTTTAGATAGTTTGTTTTGGATAAAAGGATGATCTCAGCCCGTCGTCAGTGTCCACAGTGTTTTAAAAGTAAACACAACGGCCACAAGATAGAGGAGATGAGAAGGGTTTTAACAAATTTATAGATGGTTAGGAATAAATGTATTTAAGATATATTTTTTATATTTTTTACAACATCTTGAAAAGTCACTGGGCATTTGAAGAGTTTTTATCTGCTTTCAAAATTCTCCACAACTTCATGTATTTATTTTCATGCAGATATACAATCTTGGTGGATGTGGCTATTGTGGCATAAATAACTTATGTGTGTGTGTATATATATATGTATATATATATATATACATATATATGAACCTGTCAGTAATCTTTGTATATAAAACACCCATCAGTGTCAAGTTTTGAATTTTCTCTCCCATCATTTGGCTTGTTGTGACCTTTGCCCCACCTCTTCATGTATTTAATTGTACATAAAATGAAGCACTTTGTACTGTACATTGTTAATTTATTGCGAAGCATTTTCTAGTTTTGCTTTATTGTTAGTTTTCTTTGTGGTTTGTTTACTATTAAAATGCCATAAAAGAATAATAAATCCGTCAACCCTGTCTATCATTCAGCCTGGAGAAAGTACTCATCCTTCTTTAACACACTCTTTGTGACAGTAATACCCTGCCGTTTGGAGTAAACACAGCATTACGCTTCACATTCCTCCCACTGGGGTTCGGATACCAACAAGAATAGAAAATTTTCCAGCATACTCTTCCTTCCATCACGCCTTTCTCAATTTCGCCTCAACAAATACCTCCCATTCTCTCCCTCATCATGGTAATCCTCAAAGAGCCCCCTAACTCCTGAGCGCTTGGAAGTTTCTTCACTGTTTAATACTAGTTTAATTAACTTTGTCCAGACAGAGTAGGACCATGGGGGTGGAGGGCATGAGGCAAGTTGCCCTTAAAAATCATCCCGCCTCTAATTTTGTATGCTAATCTCCTTTTTCACGCCGCACCTCCTTAGGAGTGGGGGAAAGAAGTGTTGGGAAAACTTTGGGCTAGCTGTGCAAGGCTTCCTGTGGCTGTTTTATTTCTGGGCCCACCTATTTGGATCCTTTCACTCCTCTAGGGCCTGCCTTTGCTCGATTTAACAATGAATGCAGAGCTAATCAGCTCTCTCGGAAATGCACCACTGTCGAGGAAGGTAATCCCTTCTTCTCCACTCTCAATGGGCTGTCGCCTTCTAAAGGACTTTGGGAAAAGGCTTTGCACAGATTCACACTGTTCGCTCAAAAGAAGTTAGTTCAAGTATTGTGCCCAAACAAGTGGGTTTTATAAACACATGCTTGCCAGGATACTCACCCCACCTGCGAGTAAGAAGTGCCAGGCTCAGGCAAACTAGCACATGGCAGCCGAAGCTGAAACCCTTCAGACAAGAAGAGACATGAAAGGGGAGATTAGAGTCCCTATTGAGACGGGGGCATTCATTTCTGCACCTTCCTCCTTTTACTCAATGAAGTGTCAAGGAAACACCTTGTTGACATCTTATTTACCAAATAATGATTATAATCAAAACTCCTCTCTCCTCTGATGACCCCCGTGGGCTGGTCAGATCGCTCCGACTGGCATGCAGCAAAACCCTCGCACGAACAAAAGCCCCGCGGCTCTGCAGTCCTGCAAATTTGTTGTGTTAGGGAGTACAACAGAGGCACAAAATGTTCATTCACTGCATTCAAAGGTAATGCAGAAATATAATTAGGACAAGCGTTTTGGATTAAACCTAACAAAGCCACTTTAGACTCAGTGTGCACAATGCAGTGATTCTCATTTGTGCTTTCCTCTCCATGCTGCCATCCAGTAATTCGCCATCAGCAGTCGTTTGCTGCCCACTTACACCCGCGTGTGAAAAAGCACCCCAGAGAGTGAGGAAAGCATGCTGGCACAACAATCGGTTAACGTGTGGGAAAGCTGAACATGAAAAACACATTTTAACCTCCTAGGACCTGGCGTCCACATATGTGGACATCACATTTTGGGTTGTCTAGACCAAAATACTAAATTTTGCTCTACAAGGGCCTGATATCCACTTACAAGGACATTATACTGTTATATCAGAATTTAAAGCAAATGTCCTCATATGTGGATCTCATTTTTCTCAGAAACAAAAATAAGTAAAAATAGGTTAAAAGAAATCACATAATTCTTTGTTTTTACATTCATCAGGTCCCAATCAACCCAAATAGCAAAGAGAAACTAAAAGTGCGTGCCATGAAAGAGTTCGGGTCTTAGGAGGTTAAAGTTGAGCAGTTTGACACATCTGTGAAATTATTCTCCTGTTCACTGAATGAGATCTAAAATCAGGGGCTGGACTATAAGATCAGCTGAGAAGATTCACAAGGACAGAGAACATTAATGCTCACTCTAACTCTAAATCGTTGCTTTACTATAATTTTTTTATTACTATTAAATACCTTCAATATATTTGGACTACAATAAAGAAAAAAGCTGGCAGACAGACATAAAGTTTGATGCAAACACCAGCATTTTCCTCAAATGCGCTACCACACACCCTGATGAACTGAAGAGAGCTGACCTGAATTAACCAAATATTATCACGGATGTGTGAAACAGCGCAAAGTGTTCGTCGCTGAGCCGGGCACACAGTTTCCCACCACGCAGAGGTGACACGACCTCTGACCGAGCGGTCTTAACTTCCGTCTCTCGGGCCGGCCCTGCCATTTTCAATCTGCGGTAACACATGAGCCTGAGGTGACAGGGAAGCAGGTTACACCACCACCACACGGGAACTGTGGGATCTGTTTTAAAGCAGCTGCTTACTTTCACAGTTTAAATAATTAATCTGAACTTCTGAACCAAAACAGCGAGATGCATAATGTATAAAAGATTTTTTTTCTTTTAATCTGTACAGTAGCGTCGGTATTAAAACCTAATTTTAAGACTTTGAGCTTTTGATGTGGAGTATTTTTGTTTGCAAACAATTAAAGTTGGGAAAATGACTTATAATGCCTCAGAGAATCCTCAGCTAATAGGATTTATGGCTTAGGGGTTTTAGACCTGCAACACCTAGAGGGGAGAGGGTCAGCATGAAAGGCAACACAGATGAGTACAGATGAGTTTTACTTCCATCATGCGCTCTACTCTGGTTTATAAAGCTCAATGAATGCCAACATTTGTTGCAACTTTTGGAAGTGCTATAGATATGAACAGCTTCTATTCGTCAGTAGAGATCCACTGTAACACAGAGTGATTGCTTTGTCAGCTGTTTGGGGAAAAGACAGCAGTGGTAGATTTGCTTGTATTGGTCAGCAGGATGGAGCAACAAGTTTCTTGTGACTCACCAGGCTGTTTGATCTCCTGGCTGTGAGTAACTACGGGAAAAATAAAGCATCAGAGGGATCCGCTCAGCTCACTGATCTCCACAACAAACAACACTAAGCATGGGAACATAAATACTGAATCAGGAGAAAACACATAAAGGAAGTGCATTTGCATTATTGAACTAAAATTATGTGTAGCATTAAAAGCAGTTGTTATTTAAATAACAGAACAAGGCAGCATCGGCTAATCAGCCTGCTGAGCATGGCATAGTGTGTGAGTACCTAAATATTAGAGTAAAAAAAGACTACGCTGTCCCATGTTTCAGATCATCACTGATTAACCTTCATGAAACTTTTAATATGCAGTGCTTTGTTAAGACCAGTACTGTTGTAAGCAGTTGGTCTTTTTCCTGAAATGAGAGCCACACTATCAAAATACTACATCTTCCTTTATCTGAAGCAGAAAGTTTGACTTATATAGGTGGCTCGTCTGGGTTACTGTGTGGTGTTACTGGGACACATAATCAAATTTAAATTAGTATTCAAAGTATGAGTCTTGAATTCAGAATATTACAGGAAAAATATTAATTATTATTATAATCTGAAGAGTATCCCCGCCACTATGGCTGAGAAATTGAAGCACTGAAGGGGAAATGCAATATTTCCCCCTGACATCTTATGGAGTAGAAGTACTTTAACATGGAACTACTCAACAAAAGTATTTAAAAGAGTATTTTGGTACAATACATGCTTTTTGGTTTACAGTTTCAATCCTCATGTGGAGCTTTTTAACATGTTTGTTTAATGTAAAATTCCCTTCACGGAGCTTCTAACTTCATCAGTTTTGTTATTTTTTCTTACATATTTTATATAGAAGCTACTTTCAGTTGCTCCCTTATTCACACAGGGGTCACCACAGTAGATAGGGCCACATATTTGCTTTTGCAGGATCTGTGCCTCCTCCCACAGTTGAACCAGGGATCTTTGGCTTCACAAACAAATGTACATACTACTACACAATAAAGCCGCTGCCATCCTTTCTTTCTGGTCCTAATTTATTGTATTTCATGTATTTAATGTGTGTGTGATTGATCTTATTTTATATCATTTCATGATTATGGTGGCATTAAATAACACGCCAATAAATGTCATTCTGTCCCTAAAGTAAGAGTTTGTGTTTCTCTACATTATTTTCAGGATGTCTTGTCATATTAAGACAGGTTTCAGTCCACTATACCAAACCACTGTGAGGTAGGTGAGGGGGAGTCTGTCTTTTAAAACTTGCAAATATTATTATTTAACATTACATAGTTACACATTCACTGGACATTTTGTTAGGTACCCTTTTTAACTGCTTATTAATGCAAATGTCTACTCAGTCAATCACCTGGCAACAACTCATTGCATTTAGACATGTAGGATATGGTCTAGCTAACCTGCGTAACTCAAACTATGCATCGCAATGGGAAAGAAAGACAATTTAAGTGACTTTGAACATGACGATATTTGGAAGATAGAGCCAACATTTGGCACAAACAACATTGAACAGTTCAGGCTTTCAGCCGTGGTGTAACGGGGTGAGGGACATTTTTTGGTACACTTTGGGCTCCTCCTTAGTAGTTCCTCTGCGCATCATTTAAAGACCAAACACCACACCACCTTTATGAGCAGTGTGTACCCATCTTATGATGGCTGCTACCAGCAGGATCATGTGCTATGCCTTAAATCTCAAATTATCTCAAACTGGTTTCTTAAACACAACAAGGAGTTCATTGTACTCAAAATGCCTCCATAGTCATTAGATCTCAATCCAATAGAGCACCTCTGGGATGCAGTGGAGTGGAGTGGAGTGCACCATGGATGTGCAGTCTACAGATCTGCGGCAACTCTGTCTCTATATTGGACATGATAGCAACTGACTGAATGCATGGCATGAAAAATTAAGGGAGTTCTGAAGGCAAAAAAGGGTCCAATCCAGTACTAATAGGGTGTATTTAATAAAGTGGATGGTGGAGGTATATTTACACTGATTGAGGGTTATGGTACTTTAACTATGGGGGTCAATGCCAACTCAGCCCCATCGTTTGCCCTGCCATTGTATAGAACAATATAATTGATGTCCATTATATTAAACTATTCTAATTGTCACTGTGAATTAAAAGTCCTGTTAAAATTACACTAGCGTTTCCTGTATTGAAAGTATTTAGTATTTAGTATTTATTTATTTATTGTCATTGTCAAGAACAATGAAATTGCGTTTGGGGCTTCCATACAACCCAAAAAAGAAGAAAATAATGAAGAAAACCATGCAATATCGGATTTATGCAATAAAATTTTGCATAACAGAGGAATAAAGTGAAGCACTTAAATAAAAAAATTCATATTACATGCAGGCTGAGCTCTAATTAGGACATATTTTTTCAGAAGTAACAACATTATGTTAACAAAGTCTTCCAGCTTGTATCTGCACACTAGATGATATAAGTGTGACTTTTAACCTATCACTGATGGGCTCGTTGCCTCTTTGCTATCGACTTTCTGCACAACTGTGAAAAAAGTTAGTGCGACTGCTCCCCCTTGTGGTGAAAGGAAATAGATGCAATAGTAGCATTTAGTCAGCCACAACGCTAGGAGTCGCTGTCCGGTATTCTGAGCATCACATTATCAGACCAGAGTATATATGAGTTGGTTTCGTTTGTTTTCTAGCTGTCAACAAACAGTTGCACGGAGCGGAGCTGTGTGCTCTCTGTGGGACTGCGCACATTTTCTTGTACCGATTAATAATTGTGAATGGAAAAGCTTGTAAGAGAGTGCCGTTGCTGACTGTGTAGCCTAGCGGGATATCGTTAGCAGCGAAAACCGGTGTATGGTTGTTTTATTCAGGGGAAGACTGAGGCGGCTAATCAGCGCTTGTCGACGACCATGGCAGCGGCGACCGTGGTGGAAGCTGACCCGGCGACGAGCGAAGGTGGTGCCGCTTTCTCTGGCGTCCAGAGCCGGGGTTGGGATGAATCCCAGCTCCGAAAGTATTCTTTCCCCACCAAGCCCATTCCCAGGCTGTCTCACACGGACCCGAGAGCAGAAATGCTAATAAACAATGAGGTAAAATTGCTAAGTTAGCTTATGGGAACTTCTAAGATTCGCTAAAATTGCACTCCGTGTTTTTACAGAAACCAAAAAAGTACCGCTGCAGCACAAACATTTTAGTAACAGCTTCATCTAAGAAATATCAGTCTTCAGGTTATCTACCAACGCGGTGACGGTGAAAGATCGCGAACAATCTTAGAGTTTTGTTTAGTGTCCAAGGACACATCCTGGACAGATTTAGGCTTGTTTTATCACAACACTACATCAGCTCAGTGTGGTCAACATAAATCTGTATGTTGCATTTAAATTTAGTACAGAGACTTTAATTTTCAAGCTCAAATCCTCAGAGTTCCAGCTTGCCATGTAAGAATTTGGCACTGTAAATGGGTTTTCGTGACAGCACATTACACCCAAAGCAAGATGCTTTCTTTTTCTTCTACATTTGGACGCAAACGTATTAATATAAGCAGATCCGGTATCTGTGCTTTGTGACTTTGCAGAGCTGTTTGGGGTGATCATCATTGTGGTCTACACACAGAAGTGTTTATAAGAATCAGCGTTTCTGTGGTGTCTTATCTGATATAGGTTTTTCACCTCTCCCCAACTTCTTGATGAAACAGCTGTAGGTTAATTCCAACCATAACAAATGGAAGTGAAATGCATGCCTCGTCTGCTTAAGGTTGAGGCTGTAATAATTTCTATCTTGAGCAGGCAAACGATATCATAATACGTCCACTGTCTTTTATTGCTCTTATTCTTTGTTTAATTTAGCTGGAGCCTTTTACCAAGAGACCTCTCTAGACAATAGTTACCCGTTACAGGAGTTTACTGATGGGCCACTGACCAATCATGTATAGGTGCATGGCCTGCAAAGAAGTGAATGGCTTCTATGCAGGCCATTGCATTTAAAAAGAAGTGACACCTAAGTCACTCTCCATAGAAAACTCTAATCACTTCAGTGTTGTCTCACAAGAATTTAATGTGGAATATAGAGCTATAAAGGTACTGTTAACCATATTAACTTTCCTCATTTAAGATATGGTATGCGTTATAAAACTTTATGGAGTAGGTGTATGTGCCCAACAAAAGCATATTGCAAAATGGCACATTAATAGAGCTGACACTTTCTCTGTTTGTAATCAGAATTGGTTTGCACAGAAGTAGATGTGTCATCTTACTAATACTTCTCCAAATAAACCAGCTTCCTGCTCTGCTTTTTATTATTCTTCTGCACACTAATCCATGACAGTTTTCAGCTCTTGAGACATGTTTATCTAAGAATAGTAACAGAACACGGATAGTAATATTGTCAAGCTTACTCACGTTTCACACTTCATTTTTATTACCATATATGGAACAAGGGAAGTGAAAATTTCTTACACATTTTCACACCTTTTCTTACACATTGTGCTCTTCCAACTTCCTCAAAACTGGTGCAGTTATCTGTATTTGGGCTTCAAGATCTCTACTTTGCAAATTGTGCAACAGTTAAAAAATAGTAATATGTATGATGGTGTAGAATATTTAGCAAAGGCAGGTTAGGGTGGGTAAATGCACTCAGAGATAATCAAATTAGTATAATTGCCCCCGTTTATTCATTATCATAGGCATCTTTTACACTGGAATTTGTTTATTTGGTGTTGTCATATTGGAGAGACTGCTTTTAACAGCTGCAGCCATTGTGATTCAACCATTAATACATGAGTGAAAAAAAAGACACATTGAGGGGTATGTGTAATGTAGATCACAGGTTGTGCTAGGAGTGACCCCTGTAGCTACCAAACACGGCTTCAAATGTGACATGTCAATTGTGTCGCCTTATTAGCTGTTTAATGTTAACAAAAACATCCATATTAAAACTACCGACTCTCTTTCCCAGCAGTATTAAGGCAGAGTGGAAAATAATGAGATATATTAAACTATTTTAAAACGACGCACATAAAGCGCGGGCGTAAAAACTAAAGAAAAAAAAAAGATGTATTTGAAGTAAATGGCAGTTTCCCCCCTTATTTGCTTCCACCTGCCATCTTAATTTAAACACAGACCATAACTAAAGTGTCTATATTTCAAAACGTTACAGTTAGTTGACGGCGTCGAGGATTTACAGCATCATTTCAAGCCTTTGCCACCGAAAATTCTCCCAGTTGTCCGGTGAAAGTGAAACCGAGAACCAGCACAGTGCACAACGTACGAGACACGCGGGCGGCGGGGGCGCGCGCAGCGGTGTACGTTCAGTTAGTCACGTAGGCCTCGTAGCTCAGAGTGTGCTGCCATATACTCCCCGTGCAGCCCGCTGCAAGCTGCTGGGATATATTTATTTTAATGGCATTCAGAGCAGTTATTAAACAAATATTTTGGGAGATTTTATGAACAACAATGCGACAAAATCAACATGGTGATACACGCAGCAACAGTTAATGTTTATTTTTTATGTGTAATTAATAATTTAATTAATTAATTATTATTATTTTTACTTAAAAGCTTGAAAAGTCGCCCTTGAAAGACACTTCAGCAGTCTTTTTGCATTCCTCTTAATTTATGCAGCATAGTTATGTGCTGGTCATAAAGGTGAGAAATGTAAAGTAAAACTTTACATTTTTATCCTACCATTGTACACTCGCTGTCCACTATATTAGGTATGCCTGGTAGTACTGGGTTGGATTTCTAATGGCAAAAAGAACACTGTAATCAAAGATTTACACTTATTAGTGTATAATTACATATTCTAACAGATTGATGCATTTTAACAGCCTAGAATTAGTCCATAAAAAAACAGACAGGGCACAGATTCGCAAAAGCCACCAAGTTGACCGGCTGTCTTCAATACAGTAGTTGTTTGACTATTTAACAGTTTTACATGTATATTTTCATTATGTCTCTGTTTTCCCTCTTTTCCACTCATCCTCTTCCTTCTCACCCCACGTTTCATCTCCTGAACTGAAGTCAGACCTTTGAAATATGAAAAAATGCAAAACATGCTTGTGAACTTCACTGATCCATCAACTCATATTGGACTCCTTTCACAAAATGACGTTGTCATTCAGAGTAAATAGATGTGGAAAATTGGCATATTGACAGATAAGGTAAACAGTGGACTGACAGCCTGCACTAATTGCAGACGAACAGTGGCCAGCTGTTTTTGTTTTGGGTTTTTTTGACCTATGGTGGCCATTGTAGCTAGGATTAGGCGCTTGAATTGGGTTGAGTAGAAAAACAGAAATCACTTGACTGTAATCTGCAATCTACTGAAGTCTAGTTGTGAGATTTTTCCACGCTGCCATAAAGAATTAAAAGTAGTAGTAGATTCAGCAAGTTGCTGGAACCATTTGGCAGATTTTTGTCCATATTGACATGCTGTTATCACGCAGTTGGTGCAGAATTTTTGGAGTCCCGCCCATGATACAAATCTCCCATTTCACTATAATGGTGATGGTCATCTATTGCATCGAGAGCTGGTGAATAGGGGGGGCATTTGAATGCAGTAAACATTGTTATGTTCAAGAAACCTGTTTAAGATAATTTGCGCTTTGTGACATAGCATGTTAACCTGCTGGAAGCAGCCATCAGAAGAAGATACTGTGGTCATAAAGGGGTGGAGATGGTCAGCAACAATGCTCAGGTAGGCTGTGGTGTTTAAATAATGCTCAGTTAGAATCAGGGGGTCCAAAGTGTGCCAAGAAAATATCCTCCACATCGTTTCACCACCACCAGGAGCGTGAATGGTTGATACAAGGCGAAATGGACATGGTCCATGTTCCAGTCTGGTCTTCTCTTGCTGTATCCCATCTTCAAGGTTTGATGCGTTTTGTATTCAGAGATGCTCTTATGCATTGGGTGTGATGAGTGGTGATGAGTTACTTTTTCCTCCTATCAGACTGAAGTATTCTGACCGGTCTCCATAAACAATGCCATGTTCAAAGTCACTTACGTCACCTTTCAAGTGCGTGAAATAAAGTTAGATTTTTCTGTTGTGTTGAAATGCTTTTTATTTTATTTTTTTCAGGAACCGGTGGTTTTGACAGACACAAACCTCGTGTACCCAGCTCTCAAATGGGATATCGCATACCTCAAGGACAACATTGGAAACGGAGACTTCTCTGTTTACATTTCAGGAAACCACAAATTCCTTTACTACGATGAGAAAAAAATGTGCAACTTTGAGAACTTTGTCCCGAAGTCTCAGCGAATGGAAATGAAGTTTAACGAATTTGTGGATCAAATGCACGAAACGGAGGAAAGGGGAGGAGATGAAAGGTAGGATGAAATGATATTTTAGTCGAAGCGGTGTGTTTGTTATATAGGCGTATCGACGGGTGCACATAAGTGGTCCGCAGGTGCGCATGTGCTGTCAAAATAAAAGACACGCACCAGCTAAGAAGTTGCTACGCGCGTTTGCGTACAAAGGTACTGTTTTTGTCCACTACAGTGGGATTTTCATGGCATATTCTGCACCCCATTCTGTGTTTTCATCATTTGTTTGAAACCAGCTCGCCTCCTGCAACCACTTTTCCGAGAATACGTGCTTCTTTTGCGGTTCGGACTCCTGATATTTCTTTGGAGGTGGAGGAACACCAAAGTAATTGCTTAAAGGAGCTTGCTTCTTCGACATCTTTAAGAGTTCTAAACAAATGTCTGTCCTCCTCCACAAAATCTTATGTACGCAAACGCGCGTTACAACTTCTTATCTGGTGCGCGTCTTTTATTTTGACAGCGCATGCGCACCTGCGGACCACTTATGTGCACCCCTAAGTATAGAAATATGGTGCACGAGGGCCTCATTGAATGTCAGGGACAAGATGTGTTTGTGCTGCAGGTGTACTTAACAGGGAAGGGTTTTTACACTCACAGCGTAATGCAGCAGAGGAAAGCGGTGGCCATGACTAAGCATTTCCACCAGAGAACCATGGGAGAAGCTTATTCCTGTGACCTGACTTGGCCTGGCAGCACACACACAGACAGATCATTTACTAAAGAGAGCTGACTGTTGACTTGCCGACACGCAAAGCGGCTTTTACCTATTTGGATTTAAACTAGCCACTTCCTTAAATGCTAAATTTCTCTTTGTGGTGTAAAGGAGATGTAGTCAGCTGAAACAGGAGCTGGTAAACAAGTTGTCATTGTACACTATAATGCCAGTGTATTTTATACCACTTTTGTCTCAGGCTCATACATTTTGCATGTGCCCTTTTCTCGTGCATTTCAAGGGTATATCTGCAGCAGACGCTGAACGACACAGTAGGAAAGAAGATTGTTGTTGACTTTCTTGGTTTCAACTGGAACTGGATCAACAAGCAGCAAGCCAAGAGAAGCTGGGGACAGCTGACGTCCAACCTCCTGCTCATTGGCATGGAGGGTGAGGCTCTGGCAGCAGAAAGAAAATAAGTTCAAAGTTATTTTTGTCACCCCTGCGTTACGTTTTCTGTTAATCTGTCACCGCAGGCAATGTGACGCCAGCGCATTATGACGAGCAGCAGAATTTCTTTGCACAGATTAAAGGCCATAAGAGATGCATCCTCTTCCCGCCAGACCAGTTTGAATGTCTCTATCCATACCCTGTTCATCACCCCTGTGACAGACAGAGCCAAGTAAGTTGTACTGTAGGTGCAGAAATTTGGTCAAATGATTAAAGAATAAGATGAATAGATTGATTCTTGTATAGCGCTTTTCTACTCTACTGGAGTCTATACAACATGCTGGGTTCACCCATACAGTTATCTATACTTTCTAACTGTCATTCATACACATTCATACTCCGATGGATGCATCGGAGAGCAAGTCGGGGTTAGTATCTTGCCCAAGGATATTTGGCATGCAAACTGGGGGAGCCAGGGATCGAAGCACCAGCCTTCCAATCAGCAGTTGACATGCTCTACCTCCTGAGCTACAGCCACCCCGAAAGTTGCTAAATTTCTTTAAACTTTCAGCAAGATGACACTGTTATTTCCATTTTTTTTTAAATTTTTAAATTTTTTGCAGTTTTAAAATAACAAAAAAAGGAAAGGATCACTCTCTGCTTAATGACACCCTCTTTGCCAAAGCCATACAGATGTTTTTTTCTTTCCTCTTTCTACTCAGAGTCTCAATTCTTGTTTGGCAAGTTTTCACCAATTTATCCTGCAAGATGTGTAGTTGTGTTATTCTCTTGTATGGGTCTTGTATGCTCTTCTCCTTTGAGGTTTATAAATATATTGTTGATGTTCACTTTAAGGGCCTGAGGGCTGTGGTGCAACCTGTATTTTGTGTTCCTTGCTGTTATGGATTTTAAACTATCATTATGTGCTTCCAGGAGTTGGCATTTACATAAATGCGTTCTTCCCGGTTAAATGTTCCCATACTACTAGCTGCAGCACAAACCCAAAGTGTGTTTGAGCTGCTCCATTCAGGAGGGGTTCATGTTATTAAGCCAGGCTGCTTATTGGTGTCAGTTTTATTTCAACAATATCAGTTTGGATTTACAAATTGTGTCAGGCTTGCTTAGATGTTACTTTGCAAACTTGCAGAGGTGTTGCTGCACAGTAAGACGGTGCACCACCACTCCAGAGACTGTTAAAATGTTCTCAGTCTTTTGCAGGTCATCAGTAACAATCCGACATGCAGTTTTCTTGCTCTTCCAGACTTGCCCTGCGGCATTTGTTTGAACTCCTTATTTGCATTACAAATTTGAAGAAACTGTTACCTTTGCTTATCCTGTGATAGCCTTCTCTTCTGTAGGCTATCAGATTTTTATTTTCACAGTGCCAGTATGTGTTTGTGCCACTCTGCGTTTTCTGTTAGAGATGAAATGATGGGTTGAAAGGTGACGCTTGCCCAACATTGTATACTTACCTGTTTGACACGCACAACACACAGAAAGCTTCATATGTTTGATCTCCGGTCCAAAGCCAGCTCCATCCTGCGAAAAGGCTTTCGGCCATGCTCACGTGCAGATGCCTGCACTGTGTCCATATACGCTGCCTGGAAAAGAAAAAAGGCACACAGTCTAATAGTTCATTGGACCAATTTTAGCTTTGATGACAGCATGCGTTCATTGTGGCATCATTTCTATAAACTTGTGCAATGTTACAGCATTTATTTCCAGAGTTGCATTCATGTTTTGCCAAGTGTTGACAGTGGGGGAGTTGGCCCACTGCCTAATGTCTTCTCCAGCACATCCTAGAGATTCTCAGTGGGGTTAAGGTCTCGACTCGGGTGGCCAGTCCATGTGTGAAAATGTCTCATGCTCCCTGAACCACTCTTTCGCAATTTGAGCCCAATTAATCTTGGAAGCTCAGGAAAAAAAGCCTTTGATTAAAAAACCTGGTCGTTCAGTTTATACACCTCACTTTTTAAATTGTAATTCTCTTAAACCTCAACCTGACCAATCGAAGCAACCCCAGATCATAATGCTTTCTCTATAAAACTTTTTTTAAAACCACATTTCTAACTCAAAGATGATTGTTGAGTTGTTAAGTGATTTTCTGTGCTTGATTCAGGAGAGTAATTTGACCCTTCACTAACAGAATATTATCTTCGCCACAACCACAGGATGTGTCTAGCTGCAGAGTTGTTTTAGAGATGAGAAGCTGCTCACTGCGTCAGCTAGGCTTAAATAATCTCTTGCTAGCTGAAACACATTAACAACACATTTAGTGGAATTTAGTAACATAATTATTCAAATGTGTCACACCAGGCAGTTGCATAGACGGCACATGAAAACTGGATAAGGTTTTAGTAATATTTTTATTTTTTAATTGGGTTCCTCCGGCCTTCCTTAGTTATGATTATAAAGGAGCCTTAGCTCCATTGCATTAAGGGTTAGGGTTCTATTTCATTTGCACTCTGCTCCTTTCCTTTTTTTATACTGTAAAAACTGTGAAATACAAAAATAATACAACATTGCATAATATATTGAAAAGAATATTTCATCTTTAACTTTCTAATATAATTATTTGTCACATTTTGATGAGTACTGACCAAACTTTTGTGTGCTGTATGTAGCAATACACCCAAGTTTGATTCCATGGACGTCATTAATGTGATAACATTAGATTTGTTTTATTAATTTACCTTAATAACTTTAATCTGCATCTTTTAAATGTGTTTTATATTTCATGAAGACAGATGAGTAATATGTTCCTGTTTCTTATATAATTTATTTATTCATTTATAGGTTGATTTTGATAATCCAGACTATGAGAAGTTTCCAAATTTTAAAAATGTTGTTGGCTATGAGGCTGTCGTGGGCCCCGGAGACGTGCTCTACATCCCAATGTACTGGTAAGAATAATATCTCTGTGATCTTTCTATCAATCTTATGTGTGCAAACATTTCTTGGAAGCCCTGTCAGCTGTTGTGTTTTCATGCTCTCGGCATGGCTTTGTTTTATTTAAGCACTTAGCAGGCTGTTGCAGGATTATCCATCAGTCGTTTGGTTTAGGTTGGCCTCATTAATTAGCCCAGAAAAAGCAAGCGCGACATTAATGTGTCATGTGATGGAGTTCTCTGAGTCGCACTTTCACATCCATGTGAGGAGGAAGCGTGCGTTGTATTCCGCCTCTGTCATTTAAGAGGTTTTAAAACATGATCTTTTCCTTTTTTTAGTGTAAAAGTAGTGTCTTGTGTCACTTTGTCACTCAGTACATGTCTGCTCATCGTATTATGCCTTACTATTTTAGCTAATGTAGCCAAAGGACAAATGAGCTTGTGCCATGGGGAGGAGTCAGTTGTCTGTCCATCTGTCCACGATTCACAATCCACTACTCCGCTTTGAGCATTAGTCAGCATTAAAAGTTCTTAATGATCTTTTATTAATTGCTGACTCTAGTAACTCTGCCATTTTTGTGCTTTTAGATATAAGTGTGGCATTTGATACAGTAGATCGTGGGATTCTCTTATCAAGACTGGAGAGCTGTGTGGGTATTAAAGGAACTGCACTTGAATGCTTCAGATCCTATTTAACTGATAGAAGTTTTTCTGTCAGGTTTGGTGGCTCTTCATCCACATCCACCTACCTTATATGTGGGGTTCCTGAAGGATCTATCCTGGGCCCAGTACTCTTTTTTCCCTTTACTTGCTCCCATTAGGCTCTATTTTCAGGAAACACGGAATCTCATTTCACTGTTATGCAGATGATTTTCAAATTGACTTTCCTCTTAAAAATAATTCTACGGACTCTCTAAAAGTGTTGCTAGACTGCCTCGATGACATTAAATCATGGTTTGCATTAAATTTTTTGAATGTAAACGACCAAAAAACTGAGATTGTACTATTTGCAGTGCTTGCAAAGAATCTCGGAGTGTTCTTTGATAGCAGCTTTTCATTTGAGAAACAAATAAATTCTGTTGTAAAAGCCAGCTTCTTCTAGCTCAGGGCACTTGCAAAAACTAAGAACATTTTGTCATTTGCTGACTACATGCATTTATTTCATCCAGGCTTGACTACTTGGCTACTGTAACAGTCTTTATTTTGGTATCAGCCAGGCTCTGCTCTCTCGTCTTCAGCTAGTTCAAAATGCTGCAGCTCGACTCCTGACCGGCACACGTAAACATGACCATATTTCCCCAGTCTTGGCTCATTTACATTGGCTTCCAGTACGTTGTTGAATTGATTTTAAGATTTTATTGCTTGTTTTTAAATCTCTAAATGGATTAGCTCCATCATACCTCTCTGATCTGTTAACTAAAAATACTCCTAGTAGAACTCTCAGGTCAGCTGATAAATTGCTTCTAGTTGTCCCTAGAAGCAGGCCAAAAAACAGAGGAGATCGGGCCTTTGCGATTGCTGCAACCAAACTTTGGAACAGTCTGCCTCTTGAAATTAGGATCTCTCAAACACTTGACATTTTTAAAACCCGTTTGAAAACACATTTCTACTCTCTAGCTTTTAATTGTCACTGAGTTTTGTTCTGTTCTTTGTGTGTGTTTGATCTACTTTTTTACTATGTACAACACTTTGGTCAACCTGTGTTGTTTTTAAATGTGCTTATAAATAAATTGATTGATTGATGCTAACACCAGTAATGCACAGACAACCAATGACAAGAAAACCTATCACTTACTTTGTGTACTTCACACATTACAAGAAATTGGGATACTGGGGTACTACACCATTGACATTCTGTTTTATTTTCACTTAGACTGCTTGTAGTTTCTTACTTGCATTTGTAATGCTAGGATTAAGTGATGGTTAATTTTGCTCTAACACATTCAGTTCACTGGATTTAGTTGATTGTATTTTTCTTCTGTCTTCAGGTGGCATCACATTGAATCGCTGCTGAATGGTGGAGTGACAATCACTGTAAACTTCTGGTACAAAGTATGTACAGTTACTTTAAAACATGTGGTATATTGCCACCACATGTCTGTTCATGATTGCTCAGCTATTACATGTACTTCCAGGGTGCCCCCACACCTAAGAGGATAGAATACCCTCTGCGGGCTCATCAGAAAGTAGCCATCATGAGGAATATTGAAAAGATGCTGGGAGAAGCACTCGGAGATCCACATGAGGTAAAAAAAAAAAAAGAAAAGAGCAGTTTCTAAAGTACTGGCAGTGTACATGACTGCACAAAGTTGCACATGAATGTCATATTGCCTGATTCTAGAACATCAAATAAGATCCACATTTAGGTCACCTGTTACATGAAATCACTGGGGCATGCTGACCCTTCCAGCAACCCAGTTACTGTGAATATTTATGGCTTACCTGATTTAGTACAGAGGAAAGATATATATGCAGTTCAGGACAATGCAGTGAGCATAACAGTGTAGTAAGAGTACGTGATGTAGCTTATCCTAAAAAAAAACCAAAAACCTTTTTCTTTTACTGTAGGTCGGACCTTTGCTGAAAACAATGATCAAGGGGCGATACGAGCAGGATCTTAGTTAGACCCCTACCCTTAAAAACTGCTGACTAGACTGCTTCGGAAACTGTGGGCATGTGATGCTGACACTGCTGTGTGTGTAAGCACTGTCTTTGGAGCTACGCATCACTGCATGGCAATAAGCGGCCATCATGAAAACGTTGTGCTTCAGTCTTCGAGTGCCATTGTCACTGGAAAAATACAAAAGCAACAGAAGAAACATCGATCAAACATTCATGTTCTCGTTTTCTTTTGTCTATTCGTACCGATCTGTCAGTGCTGTCTCAGTTTTACAATTCAAGCTGTTGATTGTCTGAGATTGGTAGAGAAGCATTGTTATTTTAACCACTAATGAAAGAGTCAGAGGGGTATTATATGTACAGTGCACATCAGGATATTTGTCATATACATGGAGTAACACAGTTTTGGCTTGACTAGTAAATTTCATTTCATTATGTTGTAATAATCATAATCTTGATTGCAATTCAAAGACAGCTTTACAGCTGAGGTTTTTGGGAATATTTATCTGCGTTTCCTCTATGCCTACTTAAGACTTGCTTCGGATACGATCAGCAAGACTTCTCGTTTAAAAAAAGAAAAGAAAAAAAGACATAGGCACAGATGTTAATGCAGTACAGTAATATTCAAAAAGTGTTTTTTTTTTTTTGTTTCTTTTTTGTGGGGGGGGTCATATATTCAGCTGAAGGAATATGTCACATTCTTTTTAGCAGTGATTTTTTTTCCTTTGTGTGTGTTATAAACTGCTCTTTGAGTTTTTACTTCAAGGCCTTTCTTTGGGATGGGCTACTCTGCACACCAGTATCAGGAGAAGTGGGTACTTGAAATGAGCTGATCAGTGCAGATTTAGTTGCAACTTTTAAGAAAGAAAATATGAAATTTGTGGAACCCTCTTAGAACAATTACACATCATGTTGTCTTGGGTTAAAGGGTGTAAAACCGGTTTAAAATAACTCACAGAAACATGTTAAAATGCTATTAGTTTAGTGAACTAGCAGGAAAATGTGTGGAATGTAGCTCAGTATCAACCATTGCAGTGCAACAAAGAAGCACCACCTAGTGGTTAGGTTTGCATTTGCTTTTCAAGCTTGATGTGGACTACAGTACACTTAATCAGAATGTTATATTACATACATCTATTTTGAAATTAAATGATTCTGTAATGTATGCAAACATTTAATTCCTGGTGAAAATGCTGTATTTGCATCTGTAGATGAGAAAAATGTATTTTTACTTTCACACAAACAGGTTTGTAAGATCTTGACACGAGAGCGACTTGAAAGATGGCTGTCATAGAAGTTTAAGCTGCTCTCTCGAGTTGTTATTAATATGTACATTAAATAAAAGGGACACCATTTGGTACACGCTGTGTGGCCACGGTATTAAAAGCGAGCACAGTGGGGTACGGTGGCTTGCGCACGTCAAAGTAGCATCCACAAGAATGCTACAGTAGGAGCATGGTTTCGCAGAACAGTTTGATTAACTTAAATATCAGTGGCTTTAATGTTGTGGCTGACTGGTGTCCTGTGCAGTATGTGCCAAACCAACCAGTAGATGGTATCTTCATAATGTAACTGAATAAATCAGTGAGATGAACCCTTGAAATGGAAATATACATATATTGTCAATATTTTTTCATTTCTTTCTGCTCAAGGTTCAGCCTTTAAACTCCTGATAGTAATCATTTGTTCTTCTCACAAATTGTGCAGTGATCAAACGTTGAGTACTAATTACTCTGTAAAAATAAGACTGTTTTGCTAGGGTAATTAATTACTGTGCGTGCCTTGTCTTAAATGGGCAGGGTATTAAATGTCACAAGATTATTATTATTTTTTTTTTATTTTCCAATTTTATAGTAAAAATGCTTGTTGTCACCCTGGCATTAAGCTGCTTTAAAGATGAGAATGATTTTATTTGCAGAGATAGTTGTTTTTTTTTTTCCTTTTTTATTGATGGATGCCTGTGTGGTTTCTTTTTTTAAATGTCATCTCCTTGTTCTTCTGATTAAAGTTTGTTTGTTCTTCTTCTTCTTCTTCAGAGTTGACTGATTACTGAAAGCTGTGAAATTAAATAATAAACTTAAATATTCAAATTTAGCACCTTATGTATGTACATGAATAAATAGACACAACTCATATGGTAGTCTACAAAATTAGTATTTACTATAAATTGTGCGTCAGCAGTTTCTCAGAGCGAGGAAAGCTGTTTCGGTTGTCACTATAACAGCTTCAGGGGATCCATTCCATGCTCTACAGTAACACCATCATACAGTATTTAAAGATAACATTGCTGCCGATAAGCACCAGAAACAAGACATCTTTCCAACACCCAGCTGTTACACTACACCGAGGGGAAAACTATATACCATCCATTTAGAACAAATGCTTACAGCTGGTCCAAATGGACGCAGAAAGAAACGCAAAGCGTATATCTAAAAGAAAACCCCATTTATCCTAATCTACAACTAACAAGAAATCAGAATCCAATCAGAGAAAAAAAACATCCACAATCACATGCGAAGCAAACCTCACAGAACACAAACGAGATGAGGCGCTGTGACAAGAGAACCACTTCGGTAATATGTAAACGGACCCTGAAAGCACATGATCTTCTATTATCACAAATACATGATTGGAGAATTTGAAAATCTAAACATCTCTATCAAAAATAAAGGTAATCCTGTTGGAATGAACTTTAAAATGAAGTCATCCAGCAGCATTTTTTACTCTGCATTAGGGGTGTGAAAGAAAGCACACACACAACTTCGTAATGTTAGAAAGTAGAGTGCTGCAATTGTTTGAACATGTCTTGAAAAATGAATTTATATAGCATACGGACATGTTTTCAGCTGGGTAAGGCCTGTGAAGTGTACGTCCTCCTTTATTAGGGATGAGCTGTGAATCCGTAGGTTGTCAAATCTCACTTCTGTCAGACTTCAGATCAAGTTATTGTAATGCGTTTTCTTCCCCTCTGATTTTAAATTCAGTACTTAAAACAGCTAGGTTGCAGAGTTAAAGACGCCAAGATTTTTACTGGGAGTAACCAAGATGGACAGAATTAGAAATGAGTACATCAGAGGGACAGCTCAGGTTTAGCTGTCTGGAAACAAAGAGGCAAAGCTGAGCTGGTTTGAACATGTGCAGAGGAGGTGATGAAGATGGAGCTGCCAGACAGGAGAAAGAGAGTAAGACCTGAGGCGATTCAACAATGTAGGGAGATGCAGGGGACGATAGTGTTCTGTGGCAAAACAACCAAAATACCGTAAAACTTTGCATATTAAAACATCCTTTTGCCCTAATACGTGTGTGAGAAAGTGGTTAAAGTAAACAATCAGGACTTCCTCTTATGGACTGAACAAACTGATTTAAAATTCAAGGCCTGAACAAACATATCTGCAGCACTCCTACTGGCTACAATACACAGTTAGGTGCATAATTTGTTGGACAAAGACAACTGAAAGACCATAGAAAAACAAAACAAAACTGAAGGTCACAATGGCAATTATTTACATGGGTAAGAAAAGCAATTTCATCAGCATATCCTCCATTTTCACAAACTGCAATTAATTCATCAATTTAAATACAGCAAGTTTAAAACAAGTTGTAAACCACTGATTACACAAGAACAAGGAGGAAGGACTTGACTTTACCAATAAACATCTAAGACTAATGTTTTAAATCATCACGATTATCTTATTTAAAATCCACCGTGGTGGAGTGCAGAGGCAAAACTCCAACAACAGTGTCCTTGTCCAACAAACTCTGGACCTAACTTTAAACTAAATTAAATTGGCCTCTTTGAATCAATATGTACATAAAACAGCTGATAATTCTAATGTCCAGAAGAAACTTTACAGCACCACTAAAACTTAGTTACAGAAATCAATATAGGTTCATTCACAATGTCAGTACGGCTTAAAAAGAAAAATGCATAAAAAAAATAAAATAATTTTTTTTTTAAACAAACACAACCTCAATACTGTCAGAGCAACATCAGACCTGCTGAGATGGCCAAACGTAGATAGGTTAGGCTGTTACAAACACACACAAGAACGCAAGTCACAGCATCCTGACTGAAATATCTGATAAAAAAAAAAGAAAAGAAAGATCTTTCAATAAAAAACTGAAACACTGTAATCCAACGTTTTAACCAAGGCATGAAAAGGTAACGTTTTTTTTTTCCTTTTCCAAAAGAAGCTTCTGACAACACTGCAGATGTCAGCTTTTAATTGGGAAAAAACAAACAAAATGTAGGCTAAATGAAATTAATAAATTAAAAATAGTGTAAACAATACTGTCATTAGCTGCTCTTTCAGAACTGTGCTCGTCATCAATGGAATCTGTACTTTCGCGCTGGCTTGAGGTTGACATATGTCTTCTTCATGTCCTCGGTCTCGTCCTTCTTCACGAGCTGATACCGTTCTCCTTTTGTGGTTACCACCTGGTTACCGTGGTACCGAACTAGCTTCTTTGGAGCCTGTCACAACAGAGTGCACCTGGATTTAGAGGCATGAAACAGATTTGATGTGAAGAAAATAGAAGTATAAGGGGAAGCTTACATCTTTGGGAACGACGGGACGGTGTGTTTTCTTATCTTCCTCCCTGTCCACCAGCATGTACCTAGTATGATTAAGCACAGTCATAAACTCAAGAAACAAACAAATGAGGAAAGTTCTGCTGAGTCACACTAGCACTCTTACTCACTTCTCAAGGATGCTCTCTTTAAGTTTCTGGTCTGCCAGTGAGGAAATACTCTTCCCATGGTTTACCTGAGACAAGAGGATCCCATCAAAGACTGCTAAGGAAGGTAGGAGGAACACAAAACCAACGTTTCTGTGTGTATCAGAGACTCACGTTAAGAGGTGTGGGACTGAGTTGAACATCCCCTTCTATGATAAGACGAACAGCTTCCTCCATGTCTCCTTTGGCAATAGACAGGGCGCTGCGAGCCTCAGTCAGACTACACTTGGGAAACATCTCTAGTAAGTGCTGCTCCTGGGCCTCCCACTCAGACACTGGTGGCTAACACAGACACGTGAATATTTGTTAATGGATGTAACAATATCTACAGTAGGACAAAAAGACAAATGCAAATATGTAAAAAAACAATGTGCTGATGTCAGGTGAATCGATAACCTTGGCAGTGGCTCCCTCTGTCTGTGATTTAAGGCACTGCGTTTCTCTTCTTGGTGGCTCACTGGGCAGGCTGGTGAGCTTCAATGAGATCTCTTCTGTCCTTGCCTTGGGGATACCATTTTCTTCACGAGCTAAATAAAAAGGAACAAATAAATTAACATTTAGTAGAATAGTAGAGGTATCAGAATCACACTTTTAGAAACGCTGAGAAAATGAACATGTTTGCCACCTGAGGTCCGAGCAGTAGCTAGTTTTGAAGCCAGACTGAACATCATTTCACAGACTTTGACACTGCAGAATAAAAATAAAAATAAAACTGTTATTAAAAAAAATAAAATAAAAATAGAAATAACATTAAAACACATAGTAAAGTTGTTATGTGGTTTTCTTAACCCATCCAGAGAAAGGAGAAAGTCTGTTTACCTGTCAATTTCTGCAAAGCCAGGTATGTAAGCTTCTAGCATCTCTGCAAAGTCCTCCACATCAAAGTTCTCCTCAACACTCTGCTGGGAACCAAGATCCTCCAGGACCCCAGTGATGTAAGACAACAGGACATCATCCAGTGTGCTGCATGGCACGGTAAGAAAGGAAGTTACTTCCAAAAGCCATAGAAAATGATTTTTCAGGCTTAAATGAGGCTGGGGGCTGCTTACCTGAGATCTGCATCAGTAATGTAAGTCTGAATAAATTCCTGCAGTGCACTGTGGATAATTTTGTGGAGGTCCATTACTTTCTCCTGCTGTGAGGTAGAATACGCACAAAAGTCAAAGTGCTGGATGATCACGTCAGTTATGTACTGAGCAGTGGCAAATGCAGACCCTTAAATAACCTAACAGCTGTCACCATTTACCAGATTTGGTACACAGTCAGCTCATGCTGAAATAAACACGTTACAAAACCAGTTGTTACAAAAGCTTGAGATCCAGCATCTCTAGCAGGCAGCGATGACTTTTATGCGGGACAGATCTCAAATGTGGTTAGCTGTGATGCAACCATAATATTACAAACTTTGAGGAAAGACTTACCATTGCAATTAGGCAGATTAATTCAGATAGTTAAGCAACAGCCTATCTATGCAGCTAACAACGCTTTAGCACAACACACACACAACTATACAATGACCTCTCTCGTGCTTTGCAGCACAGCATTAGCACTGCAGCTGTTACTTACCCGCTAATGGTTAATTACTAGCATCACGGCTTAGCTATCATAAGCTATACGATATTGTGTGTTGTTATTCACACACATATCACTCGTATTTTCTCAACATCACAAGTGTCTGTTGATCCACAAGGCTAACCTTCATCTGGGCATCTCGTTAGAGAAATAGCTGCAGGCTCTTGGAGAACTAGCGCTAGCAAAGTGGCTTCTCGTTAGCTGACAACAACTACAAGCAAGCTAACACTCAACGCTGAATACCTAAACGAATGCTGTTACATAAGAGCGGGTTTGTATTGAAGAAAACTTACTGTGAGAGAAATTATGGAGACATGAAGCTAAAGGTTTTCCCCAGATATATACGGGGAAGACAGGTCAGTACAGGGATTTCTATTCGTGACAACCGCAAACTTGCACGGCACGATTCAAAACATTAGCACGTCACTTCCTCTAAAAATGTTTAATCCTTAATAATGTTGGTTATATTTAATTGAAATAAAAAGGAAATCTAATGCAATTCAGACTGTTTCTTTTGAATCTGCACTGTCAAGCTTAAACACACACACAAAAAACAAAACAACCAAGAGACCATGGTAGAATAGTATTTTATTTAACATATGTTTTTTAAATATTCATATATATTCAAGGGACTATCCTGCTCCCACTTAAAATACACAGTTACTGTGACAAAATATTGCTACAAATAACAAAGAACTACACTCACTGCAGCATCAAGGTGCTGAAAATATTCCTAAGAAATTTTGGTCTATATTAAAATAATATCATCACATCATTCTTGCAGATTCGTCAGCTACATATGCATAATGGGAATCTTTTATTCCACTACATCCCTAAGTTGCTACGTTACACTGAAATCTGGTCACTGGAGGCCATTTGAGTATACTGAACTCATTGCTATGTTCAAGAATGTAGTTTGACGAATAAAACACAGCAAAATCCAGTTTGAGATGATTTCAGCTTTGTGACATGGTGGGTTATCCTGGTTATCCAGTGTACCCATTTTATGATGGACGGTAGATAGTAAGTAGATAACTTATGGCGGAAATGCAAAAACATCAGTGTAAGACTTTCTCAGAGCTATTAGTGCTAATACCTACCAGTTCAAGGTCATTGTTACCTTTTTTAAAATGTCACATTTTTTTCCTTAGTGGGTAAAATAAGTATTCAATCAGTCAATGAATGAATGAATGAATGAATGAATGAATGAATGAATGAATCAATCAATCAATCAATCAATCAATCAATCAACCAATCAATCACAGATACTTCTTAGACACCAACCTCTATGCCACCATGGGCAAAACCAAAAAGCGGTCAAAAGAAGCTGGAATGAGTTACAAGACCATCAGCAAGAACTAGTGACAACTGTTGGTGACCCTCAGTCTGAAGCCCCATACAAGATCTTTGGTTTATGAGGTGAGGATGATCATGAGAAAGTTGGTGGATCAGTCCAAAACTATATGTATGAGTCGGTAAATGATCTGCAGACAGTCAGGACCACAGTCAGTGAGAACACCATTGGTGTAGAAAACACACAATGACTGTAGAAAACAAAAATGAGCTCTTTGGCATCAACTCTACCCACCCTGTTTGGAGAAAGAGAAGTGCTAAGTATGACCCAAAGGACATCATCCCCACAGTCAAGCACAGAGGTGGAAACATTATGATTTGGACTGTTTCTTCTACTAAGCGTACATGCTACTTCACTGCACAGAGGGGCCTATAGACAGAGCCACGTACCATAAAATCATAGCGGAGAGCCTCCTTCTCTAAGCTGTGGATGGATCTTCCAGCATGACAGTGGCCCCAAAAATATTTTCAAGGCAACAAAGGTGTGGGTAAAAAGGAAGCACAATAGGGTCATGGATTAACAGCCTTCAGTCCAAGAGGGTCTGCCAAGATGCAGTAAAAGAAGACTAAAGGATTTAGAGAGTTTCTGTAAACAGGAGTGGCCCCAAATCCCTCCTGACATGAATGTAAACCTGGTGACCAACTAGAAGAAATGTCATATCATTATGATTTCCAGTCATGTTTTGCTTGGGGATCAAATGTATATTTCACTCAGTGACATGCAAATCAATTTATAACGTTTGTGTAACATGTTTTATTCATGATTTTTGGCTGATATTCTGTCCATCTCCATTAAAATGCAACCATAAAAATTAGAGACCGTTCATTTTCTTGCGAGCAAGAAAACTTACAAATTCAGCATGAGATCAAATAATTATTTCCCCCAAAGTATTTTCCAGCTGTCATCAAATATTTTTCTCTTAGAAAATACATTTTATCTTCCACTGCGAACCCAAGATTTACAGTTCATTTGTCTTATTGATACATGTGTAGATTTCTTTTTTTAAATTCCTTACTCAGTGTCTGAATATTGGTCTATTTACCAGCCTATGGTAGGGTGGTAAACAGTCTACTCTCACTTTGACATTATCTTATATCTTTTGCCAGATCCATACATAGTTGATGATCAAGGTGTTATCTGAGGCAACATCAATGATGTCATTAGAGCCTGCTCTCAGTTACCTCCGCCTGTGTTGGTATTATAGCAGATATGTACCTGTAAATCATTAATGCTCATTCAATTGTCTCCTTGCTCCCTTGGCAGTATCTCTTGCCGGCTGTAGTATTTCATCGGGAAATATGGTACACACCACTGATAAAACAAGCAAGAACAATTCTCGACTTGGCTGAACTCTGTTTCAACTCTGAGCTCATGGCTAGACAGGTGGGGCTGAGGTATCAGAGGAGAGCATGTAGTATCTGTATTAAAGGACAGCATGGT